TCCCATCTGAAGTCTCTAGTGGTTTTCCTCAGGCCGTCCACGTAAATTTCGAGTAGCCCACGTTGGCTTCCTTCCATATCCTTGTCGCATTTATTTGAAGTAACCGTTCCACCACTCGACGTTATACAGGCCCAGGCTGAGCTTCTGATCCTGCCCTCCGCCTGTTCCTGAACACGGCCGGGAAACCTCCCTCCTGCCGCGCCTGACTCCGCCAGGTTCCATTCTCCGGGCGAGGGCGAGGCAGGAACTCGTCTACTGACCGCGCTGCAGTATTCATGAAAGAAAAATAATCTTGAAGAAAGCAGTGTTAACCGACGTTCCTCCGAAACGTCGGTTAACACCACATATACACGGTGCCAAATCCCAGAAGACTGCTTTCTTCATAGTCACCGCCGTGTAAGCCTCAAATCTTACAAAAATAATCTTAATTGTTTTTTGGCAATAACATTTGTTTATATTTACTTCTTTAATTCGATCTTTAATTTCTGAGAACTCCAGAGGGGAGGATGCAGATGGCTGGCCTCCCCTCACGTCGCCCCTGTCTCTGCGTAACCAGTGTTCCACCTGGGATCATCGATACGCCATTCATCGTAGTGACTGAGCCACAGGATCGGGGTTCAGTTGAGGAAGAGAAGTGGATCTTTCCCCTGGGCGTGAAGCTGACAACTTACCTTCATCAACTGTGGAGGTTAAGAATGCGTGAACTTATACCTTCGTCTCCCCAAGGAGTGATAACAAACCTAACCGCTACTTCGTAACAAACTGTGTTTCCATTAACCCAGTATTTACCTAACTCATTAGCTCACAGGTCATATTCCGTGCACACACGTTTAGCTACGCTTCCTGTCAGAAGAATATTTCTTCCTTGAAGAAGGTTAAACACGAGCTTGTACCCGGCATACCAGTTCGACGCCTGTGCAAGTCAGTGGCTTAATGGTAAGCACCGAGCCCATTGGAATACTGACGGGTTCGTTGTCCCACTTTGTCCCCTTCGCGCGTGACGTCAGACGCGGTCCCTAATCGTGAGCGAAGTGTCAGAGCAGCCCCGTCAATATCTTGAGATGTGATTAGTGGCATTTCGCGAACTGAAGTGTCCGATTTGGTTCAGCAGCGCCAGACTCAGCGCGCGTGCGCGAGCGGACTGGAACGTCAATAAATTAGTGCTTTCAACAGCCAATTACTGCGCTCCAACTCCGTGAGCGGCTTTCATAATTACGTGAATATACTGCACACCTGTTCTGTCCTCAGCAGCACGAAGCAGTCTCGTCGCTTTGCAGAAGGAAGCGTCCCCAGCACCCCAAATTACTCCACGCTGGAACACTGTGGCGACGGACGCGCGGACAGCCTTATTGTATTCGTGGTCAGACATCAAGGACAAGGTCCAGAGAGCGGTGCTCGTTACATATCATCCGCAGGTGAACAAGTTGAGCATCGCAAGAAAGGTTAAGCGACTGCTGACTCGACTCGAAAGCCTCCCTTTCTCTGTGACGACACACAGACGTGACATCACGATCACACGTTCAAGTCTCGGAGACGAATCGTAAGGCAGCGTCCCACATCAACGTCGAATGCAATAATCGTGACATGTTCTGACATCATGCCCACCTAGCGGGTTGACGCAGCGGTAACTGCTGTAGACTCATATGCGCGAGGTTTTCGGTTCGAATCTCGGCCAGGACACCGGACATCCTCACTGACGTTCTTCGTAGTTTTCCTCGGTCCCTCCAGGCAAGTGGCGGATTTTATCCCCGTCAGGTCATCATCGTTCCTTTCAGATCCTTCCTAACTCATCTATACCCCTAGCATCCGACGCTGTACAGTTCAGAGGGCTGCAAACTAGCCCCCTCGACACCCTATAATTTCACCGGTTGCTAAATGTCTGCGTAATTCGACGTGTCCATCATCCGCCGCTCTCATTTACATGGAGCAGCTGATAGTTGTTAAATTCGTCAAAACGTTACCCGTCCAACAGGAAGCCAAGCAAGAAACCAGGAGAAACAGGTGGAAAGCTTCGACCCTGAAGGTGGAGGTTCCTCCGAAACGTCTGTCTCCCAGCTACATGGCATTACAACCGTGGAGGAGCCTATGGCCGCCACAGCACAATGAAGTCCTCAGATCCCGTCTGTTCTTGGCTATATAAATTGCATCTCATGCTACATGTTGGCGCCTGCGCCCTGGTGTCCTCGCAACACGCGCGGCGCAGAGGCGGCATCTTGCGCTGTGAAGTGCAGATGGCGGGCTGGGGTGCAGCCACACAAACACATGCTCTTACTGTCCCGCCAACAACGTGTTTCGCCCCTTAAACGTCAGATGGCACGTGATACCAATCATGACGGAATTCCGTAAGACTTCATTGCTACTGGAATCCGAAAATTCGGTCGGATACAAACCAATGCACATCAGATTTTGGAAACCGAAAGTGGACATAAAAGTGCTGAAATCAAAAATTGAAAATAGAATAATGGAAGGTGAGAATGAAGGCATGCACTCTCGGAAGCGGGGACCATGGGTTCGAATCCAACTCGGGCGTTTGTGTGTGTATGTGCGTTTTTCTGTGTTTGTGTACAGGTAGAGGCCTTGCGACGAGCTGATCACTCGCCCAAGGAGTCCTACCGAATGTTTAAGATCTAGTAAACGGAAGTTAAACGGAAAGTTTCATGGAGGTAGGCCAAGGCCCAAATTGGGGCTGTAGCGCCAAAGGAGAAAAAGCTAAGAATGACTATAAAGGGAAAAGGGTGGGAGGAATTTTGGAAAATAAAGAGGGTTGAGTGGTACTGTGGCTGTGTTTATGTTGGTGTGCGGGTGGGGGGTTGTGAGTGAGGTACAAGTGTTTAAATTAAGACGCGGTGGCAATGGAGTGTAGTTTGTGGTGATCCCGACGCTCTGTGCAGAAGACGCTTGCTTTCTCCCTGAGCGCAGGGGAGAACTGGGTGCGCCATTTACCAACGCGGTTGGTGCGCAGGACGCCCGTCTCTCGGGTAGCAAGTGACAAGCTTAGCCAAGCGGAACATCTGTGCTACGTAACTATGCTGAGCAGCACCGGGCGAAGGCGTGTGGGGTTGTGGAGGTTGGAGCTGAGCTGGATGTGTGTGTGGCTACTGTCGGCTCAACCTCCATACGGCGATACGCGAGGTGGGCGTCACGAAAGAAATTACAACGTCTCTACTGGTAATGGAACATAGACCCTTTCATCATGGGCGCCGGGGGGGGGGGACAGCCAGAGGATTTGCTAACGGACTTACGGTCATGTCAATTTGGATTTATGCGGTTCCATTCAGTTGTGTTAAGCACATACAAATGTATGTTGAAAGCCCCGGTCAGCTTCATTTGTAACAATTCAGCAGGTCGCACGTTTCGGCGCGTCATTGTCATGCTATCATCAGACCCTTTGCGTAGAGGGAGTGTCGCATGTCACTGAATAATGTTGCTTCTGGACTAGTAGCCCATGTGTCTCATCTACTAGATCAAACACGTATGTGCAACTTCGTCTGTACACATTCTGCTGAAAGACCCTGACGATGGCGTCACATTTACGCACCGAAACCCTCAACCTTCTGAATTTTTACATGTAGGAATGGAGCTGTTTTCTGGCCCATGCTCTGGACATGTGTTATGTTTTGAAAATGTGGCACAGTTCAGATATCTGGGAACAACGATAACAGATCGAAACCTAATTCAGGAGAAAATTAAGAGGCGATTGAACTCGAGTAATGCTTGCTATCATTCAGTCCAGAACCTTTTGTCTTCTCATCTGTTGTCCAAAAACATAAAAATTAGAATATACAAAACTATAATTTTGCCTGTGGTTCTGTATGGGTGTGAAACTTGGTCTCAGACATTAAGGGAGGAACACAGACTGAGGGTGTTTGAGAACACGGTGTTGAGGAGAACATTTGGACCGAAGAGGGATGAAGTGACAGAAGGGTGGAGAAAACTGCATAATGAGGAGCTTCATAACTTGTACTCTTCTCCAAGTATAATTATAATAATCAAGTCAAGGAGGTGGGTCGGTCATGTAGCACGAATGGGGGAGACGAGGAATGCGTATAGAATATTGGTGGGAAAGCCAGAAGGAAGGAGACCACTTGGAAGACCAAGGCGTAGGTGGGTGGATGATATTAAAATGGATCTTAGAGAGATAGGATGGGATGATGTGGATTGGGTAGATCTGGCTCAGGATAGGGACCAGTGGAGGGCTCTTGTGAACACGGTAATGAACCTTCCGGTTCCATAAAATGCTGGGAAACTCTTCAGTAGCTGCAGAATTGGCGGCTCCTCCAGAAGGGCTCAGCTCCATAAGAAAGTAAGTAAGGAATGGAGCTGTTTTCTGGCCCAAGCTCTGGACATGTGTTTGTATTCAGTTTCAAGCCGTGTAGGACATTTATAGCGTTCGTCTTTAGGCTATTCAGGATAGAAGGACAGATGTGTTAAAACTAATCTCATATCTGGTATTAATATTTAGAATATTTCCCCTTTTCAGTTTTGGGTTCTTGTAAATGCAGTCCTGAAATGCAGTTCAGTGTGCAGATTTTTAATAATTCTACTACACCAATTATTATTAGAATGACAAAATGTTGGAGAATGTATGAAGTCTATGTTGGAAAACCTGAAGGAAAGACCTAGACGTAGATGGGAGGATAATTTTGAAATATATTTTAATAGGATGAGAAGTCGTTTGACCTGGCATAGGATAGGGGTCAGTGGCAGGCTCTTGTGAACACGGTAATAACGTTTTAAATTCCATAAAATACTTGAAATTTCTTGATTGGCTGAGCAACTATTAATTTCTCAAGGTTTGTGATCTTTTTCATTGCTTATGCTGGAAACATATTAAATCCTGCCACTAGATGGCTGCAGGAGTATTATATATATCACATGGGACATCTAGTGGGCAAAACTTGAACTATATATGTTGGTCACATTGTGTGGTTAGCTGTCACCAGTTGTCACACCTGAAGGATGTATTTGATTCGTGCATGCTACTTTCCCGCCAAGTATGCTGTGGTTTCCGGTAGTATAGAGTGTATAGAGTGAAGTTCAGAATATCTGTTTTGGTGTATAAGGAAACTAATAAGTGTATTTTGTTGCTGTAACATAATAAGAATTTTAACAATGGGTGAAGTGGAAGTTGATCAACGTTTAAGAGATTTGCAGCGAGAATATTTGGACTTCTTAGACGATGAGGTACTGCGGTGTTATTGTACTGCTATTGTTCTGTATAGGGGTTCGCTGTATAAAGATTGTAGTTCTGACATCAGTAACGGATAACTTGCCAGCTTTAGGCGAGGCTGCCGAACCTACAGGAACCAAATGGCTGCGAGAAAATTAATGTAACGTTTTCAGTGTTTAGTACAGCGGTTAGATCTTCCCCTGTCAAAACTGCAGTTCGAATAGCGAAAGCTCATGACGATTACGTATATAAAGAAGGAAACACTAGACTAAGCATTAGCATGTTTATCCTGCCGAGCACTCTGAGCTGTTAAGGCCGTGGCGTAATCTCGTAATCAGCACTGCAAATGGGCCTGTGCCTTCAGTGAGGTGTTCTCAATCTGTCACTTAAGAAGACCCCCAAGCAAACGCTTGTCGCTTAAATTAATTTTGGGCATAAGATTTTTCTCTTGACAGCATACAGACTGGTTTTTCGGGGGCTTTCCTCAGGGGTAGAGGGGCCAGGCTGTGAAGCTCACCTCCATCTAGTGCAGAGGTGATGGATGCATGAAGCAATACCTCCACTCCCTCATATGTCTTCACGGCTTGATGTTTAATTAAGAACTGGGACAACTTCCCTAGTTTGAGAAACTTCTATACTTGCAATGCATAATATCAGTCTTTTATTAAATTTTTAGATAGTTACACAGTGATGATAACAGGGCTACATGCCATCAGGCTTGTTGTCCTTATGCTGGATACAGTTACTGTAACAGAATGAGAAAAATGTTCTTGTGGTAGAGATCACACATTAACAAGTTCCTAGTTTGTAATCATCCCTTTGGCAGCATGCAAGAAGTATCTGCCCAGACTTCTTGCATGTTCATACTTCAGAACTAATGCTGATACGAATGTCATGCCGTTGGAAGCCATGCTCAGTTCTTCTTGATATCCTAGAATCCATAACAGCAGCATGGTGGATGCACTAACTTGGGTAGTAGGAGCAACTCTGGTGCAACTATGAAAATGTGGTAACCATAGTGAGAGTACTAGTACCTGTAACAGTAAGAGAAACCAGAGTAATCACAACTGAACTTAGGTGCTTAATTACTTAAAACCCAGGGCTAACTTGAGTGCAGAGGTGCTAAGCATTCATGTGGGAACTGTGCAGGCTGCAGTTCTGATTGCAGCCTTCCTGCCCTTCTGAAGTTGCTGACACTGTTTTTGCCTTACAGGAGGGTGACGGTACTTACTCTCAACTTGTGAAGGACTTGGTTGCAGATAAAGGCAAGAGGCTCCTTGTCAATGTAAATGATTTACGTCACCGGAACCCTGTAAGGGCTGCAAGGTTGGTTGGTTTTGCTTCTTTTGACGTGGAGAATACTGTTTGATGGTATGTGGTCACAATGGCATTGTGTGTTCTCATATGAAGGGTTAGTCGTGAATATATTGAATATTCAGTCATAGACAGTCAACGAAGGTGGACCTCCAATGTGGGGATTGGGCAAGGTGCAGGATGTTACAGAATGGTCTCTCCAACCAAATGCTTTGAAACAGATCATGACCCCCTCCTTTCCAATCTGTTTCCACTTCCCATTTATTGTCTGTCGCATTCTGCGGTTCAAACAGCGTGGCTGTGATCTGTTGTGTTTCAGCTTGTTGAACAATGCATTTGAAGAACAACTGGCATTTCAGCGTGCACTGAAGGAATATGTAGGCAGTGTGGATCCAACATACGCTAAAGATACTGAGGAGCTGTTTGTAGCTTTTGAAGGCAGTTTTGGCAACAAACATGTGACACCTCGTACACTCATGTCGAGATTCCTTGGAAACCTTGTCTGCGTTGAAGGAATTGTGACAAAATGTAAGTGGCTTGTGTTACACATCTGTAATCTGTTACATATGATTACCATTGTGCAGTAAAGGGTTAAGCAGTGAGTCTGCACAGTGTGAAGTAGTGTTCTGTGCTGTGGACCACTGGAAACAGTACAGAGAAAATTTTCATGTGATGAAATAATTTGACCAACCCTCCGCACATTGTATGTTTCCCGTTACTGTGACTAATTGAGTCATGATTTACCATATGTTTGACATTTCGGTTAACTTGCAGGTTCCCTTATACGTCCTAAAGTTGTTCGCAGTGTCCACTATTGTCCTGCAACGAAGAAAGTGTCGGAGCGTCGGTACACTGACCTCACGTCTTTTGATGCTTTTCCATCGAGTTCTGTCTACCCAACAAAGGTATGCATTACAACCTGATATTCCCATGGCTAAAACATCATTGAGGGTGCAACTTGGCTTGAGCAGGCAGGCATCCCATGAGATGTTCGGTATGCTGATTTTGGTTCCCATCCTGATGGTGTCCAGTCACTCTTCCAATGAATATGAAACAGTCTGCATCACTCTCTCATGATGCACAGAGTGTGTTAGCTGTGAGCCTCAGTGCCATGCACTTTCCTGAGGCAGTGAGCTGTTACATTTCCCACCATTTAACGTATGGTTGTTTTACGTCAGTCACAGCAGTGCTTTCAAGACTGGATGTAAGAGCGTAGTGTGTTGCATCAATTCAATGTGTGACACTGTTGTGTTTCTCCCACCTGAGTAAACTCACATGCAGTACGGTGCAGATTTACAGTCTGCATTACTTTCAGGATGAAGATGGCAATACTCTCGAGACGGAGTATGGACTGTCGGTATACAAAGATCATCAGACGATCAGTATACAGGAGATGCCTGAGAAGGCACCTGCAGGTAAATAAACCTAATGTTTGCTTAATTGATGACAGTATTGTGTGTCTGATACATTGTTCTGGATATGTCATGTCTCAAATAGGCAGCCTTGCAGAAGGTAGGTCCTTTGTGTTGTGAATTTGGTTTCACTCCTATGTTTTAAAATAGAATCTAGTGACATTCTGATGATAATGTAATGATGTGTATCATTGTCTGATGATGACACGTGTTTCAAGATATTTTAGATTCGCTGAATAGAGACAGTCATTGCTGGTCACAGGAATTGCACTTGGCAAAGCAAGTCACGACAGCAGGGTTGATACAACTTCAAAAAATAATTTGCCCATGTATTTTCACATTAGAAATAATATGCCTCACAGAATTGACATAAACATTTATTACAAGTAATGTCCTTCCAAATGTTTCTCAGGCCCCTGGGGCTCATCTCCCAAGGCCAAAGCAGTTGCAATGTGGACTTCTCCCTAAATGCCTTCATTGTGTGGTTCCTGGTCATGTCATTGTGACATACTGTGAGATCCTCATTTATGATTGTTCAATAAACTCGGGCAAATATAAGGTCCCCATGCTTAATTAAGCACCATGCCCTGGAAATGTGTGGGGGAGTAGAGGTGTAGTTTCATGCATTCTTAACCTTGGAAGTAGGTGGATGTGAGCTTCATCCCTCAGCTGCTTCAGTAAGAATAGTGAAAATAGAAGTATAACATGGATTTTTACCCCTTTTTAGCTTTTCTGCGTATTAATGGACACATTCTGTTGCATCTGTAGGTCAGTTGCCACGGTCTGTGGATGTCATCTGTGATAATGACTTAGTGGACAAGTGTAAGCCAGGAGACCGGGTGCAAATTGTGGGTAACTACAGGTGTTTACCCGGAAAGCAAGGCAACTTCACTACAGGGACATTCAGGTATACCAACAGTTACTCTTATCCCTGTGAAGATTCCTTCAGATGTCACGCAGCCACTGAAGATGGTAGAAAGTCCCTGCCACCCAAGTCTTCCCTTATCTTTGGAACTGTGGTGCATATCATTATTAAGTGCATTCATTGGCTGGGGCAGTAGTGGTTCTAACTTGTATTTCAGAGGTGCCTGGTTCTAGTTTTGGTCAGGACACAGACTATCGTGGCTGACGTTTTGTGTCATGTCTCTCAGTCCTTACAAGATCATGTTGGGATAGTATCTCATGCCAGACCAAGATTACATCCATATTTTTCCCAGTTCATCATGTGCCAATCATCCAGCATTTTACAGCCCAAATTACTGATGGTGCCACTAAATAGATGACAAATAAATTAAATGGCCAATGTAAGAGCACAGAGCTGCCATCTATTGATGACAATGTGAAATTCTAGCACAAACTTCATAATGTGGCCATTTGGGACACTTTTAGGAAGTGTTAATGAACACTAGGTTGAATCCAATGATTTTTTGATGATACAAGGTGGTTCAAATATGGCTGGGACTGATTTGTGTGTAAACAAGCTGCACTGGGCAGCAGCTTTGCAACCTTGAGAGAGTGAACCCACAACCTTCACCTTCCCTCCTGTTTGGGTTAGAACCTGTTCAGTCCTGTCTGGGAGTTGCTAGAGTGATAAGTGAACAGAAGGTACCGCGGAGCATGGAACAATGCATTGTGATCAAATTCCTCCTTGGAGAAAATGTCCCGTCCGCTGAAATTCACCACAGACTCCAACAACTGTATGGGGAAGAGTGTCACTCACTGACCTGTGTATTTGATGTAAGTGCTTCAGAGAGGGCAGAGAGCGCATGATCGTTGGCCTCGAACATCTGTCACCAAGCCAAACATTGATAGTGCAGATGCGCTTATTCATGAGAATAGGCACATAACTATCAAGGAACTTGGAGCAATGCTGTCCATCAGTGTTGGTACCGTGGACGAGATCGTGAAATACCACCTGTACTATCACAAGGTGAATGCACGGTGGGAACCACACACTTTGACGGATGTGAACAAAATGGTGTGCATGCAAGCTGCCAGTTGTCTCCTACAGCAGTTGGAAGACGAAGGTGATGCATTTTTGAAGTATCGTGACCACTGATGAAACGTGAGTGCACTACTTCATTCCCGAGTCCCAGCAGTCATCACACGAGTGGCGGAGTGCGGAGGAGCCGTTCGGCAGGAAAAGTGTTGGCAGCATTCTACTGGGACTGGCAGGGGATTATCCATGTAGACTTTATGACAGATGCCAGAACAGTCAGTGCAGCTTATTACTCAGACCTCCTGGCAGCAGACGTGAAGGAAAAGATCCAATCCAAGCAGAAGACAGGCGGAAAGCGGGTAGCCTTCCTTCAAGACAATGCACGCCCTCATACGGCCAAAACAATGGAAACCCTCTGGAAATTGAAGTGGAACCTTCTGACACATCTGCTGTACAGTCCCGATTTGACCCCAAGTGATTTCTACCTGTTTGGAAGGCTCAAATCAGACTTGCAAGGCATGCGGTTTGTGGACAATGACGCCATCATCCAGACTGTTCGGGAGTGGATACGCAGCAAACCACAACACTTTTTTGAAAAGGGCATCAGGATGCTTCCAGAACATTGGAAAAAATGTGTTGACTCTGGAGGGGAGTACGTTGAAGACTGACATGTGCAAGTAAGTGTTTGGCAATTATGGTTTTAAAAAAAAATCAGTCCTGGTCATATTTGAACCACCTTGTAAGTATCTGAATTCCTTGTATGTGGTCTCTCCACCGGTGAGTGATTGTTGCTCCGCTGGTTAGGACATTCCTTCTGTGTAATCCAGAGTTGGTTGATTTGTGTGCAGTTTCACAGTGTTTGTCTGTTTTTCAGAACAGTTCTGATTGCTAATAACATATCCCAGCTCACAAAGGAGTCGACGCTTCTGATCACCAGGGAGGATGTCCAGAAGTGCAAGAAACTGGCTCGTAACAAGAACATCGAAATTTTTGAGTTGCTCAGTAGATCGCTGGCACCTTCCATTCATGGACATGAGTACATAAAGAAGGCCATCTTGTGCATGTTGCTGGGCGGAGTGGAGAAGGTCCTTCCTAATGGAACACGGCTCCGAGGGTAAGTGGGCATTTATATGACACTTCTCTTGTTAGAGCCAAACAAAAGAAAGTGTTGAGAATGCAGTAATTAGCCTGATAGTGACGTTTCTTAACGTGAGTTGCATGCAATAGAAAACAGAAAAAGCAAAAGAGATAGAACAAGAAAGAAAAGAATTGGAGAATTCAGAGATTAACACTGAGAATGATAAGTTAATAAATAACAAAACAAGGTGATGCAGACACATTTTGAGAAGAACAAAGAAGGAATTCCAGAGAAGGTTTTGCATGTGAAACTAGTGTAAGACTAAGTTCAGAACTCACCAGGAAGCCTTCTCATCTCATACATTAGTTTTCATGCCATTAACATCTGCTGAGTTCTCACCTGTTCCTTTCTAGTCCTAGCTGTTGAATGTTCTGTCAAAGCCAACATTTAACACCATTTCCCACGAATAATACACACAAATAGCCGATTGTAATCTTTATTTAGCACACAACAGTTTACATATCCACATCAAAATATTAGTACTCAAAGAACAGGTGTGGGCACTCATTTGTGATATACAGCATAACTTATGTTTGTACAACATGTTAATGCTCAACCATTTTTTGCTGTGGTAACCTGAAATTGGATGATGATAGTGCAGATGGCTTCATACTTTCTCAGGCAACCTTATGGAACACAAGTCCTGTGTGTTCATTGAGATCTCTGGTATGGCAGCTTTGGTTCCAATTATGCTTTCAGAATGTAATTGAGGAACTTCTTACTGATGACATAACAGTCTGTCAGTACCTGAGCATGGAGCATGTGAGAAGCAGAGTTTCAGTAACTCTGTGGCACTCAGTGGTGTAATGCCCCTTGCACTCTGTGTAGTATGTGCAGCTTTAGTGGTCTAAGTGTGTGATGGCTGTTGGAATAGCATTAGTAGCTGTAGCGTATGCTTCTAGGGACATCAACGTTCTCCTGATAGGGGACCCTAGTGTTGCAAAGTCGCAGTTGCTGCGGTATGTTCTCTGCACTGCTCCGCGGGCTGTTCCCACTACAGGTCGTGGGTCATCGGGTGTTGGTCTTACAGCTGCAGTGACAACTGACCAAGAGACTGGAGAGAGGAGGTAAGTTTTGCACCAGTGAGAGTACAGGTTGGCATTACTGGGAAATGAATACCAGTGTGAAACTGCAGGTTTCTTTGCATCTGTGATTGGTCCCTGGCATATAGGAGAAAATGTGCTACAGATGTGCATATGGCTGCTGAATGATTACACACAATTGAGTTGTTGATTCATGTATATAGATAGATTAATAACAAAGAAAAAAGATGAATGTTATGGCTTCTGGGGTGTGCCACCGTGTAAGTCCTCTGGAAGTTTGGCAGTGTTTTGGAGCAACATAATTCCTCTGCCTTCAGGGCTGCAATTTGCTGAGCAACCAGCAGGTTTCCACGTTGCTCCACACCCCAGAACACAACCCTCTTTAGGATGCAATGTGACTGACTTTTGTGTGACAGGGACTGAATTTTTAAATGAATCAGAGGCTTCAAGCAAATGTTTCGTTATGTTTAGGCTTGAGGCTGGAGCCATGGTGCTTGCTGACAGAGGGGTTGTGTGCATCGATGAGTTTGACAAGATGTCAGACATGGATAGAACTGCTATTCATGAAGTCATGGAGCAAGGGAGAGTTACAATAGCCAAGGCTGGTATCCACGCTCGTCTGAATGCTAGGTGCTCCGTGCTTGCCGCTGCCAACCCAGTGTATGGCAGAGTAAGTTGCCATGGAGTGATGTGTATAAGTTGGTTATTTAATGCACTGTCAGTGTCAGCACTGTAGCATCAGATGGCAGGAGGATTAATGAGTGTGGAGCAGTTAGTGGACTGGCAATTGGCAGGGGGAACTGAAGTACCCACAGGAAACCTGTCCCAGTGCCACTGTCTACCACAGATCCCATATGACCTGATGTGGGATTGAACTGGGGCTGCCAGATTTGGTAGCTGGTGGCTAACCACATAAGCTACAGCACAGCCCTTAACATGGATCAGTTACAGCTCTTCAAGCCATTAAGGCAAAGTGGTTACAATATGTACCACCAGCTGTTATACACTAAAACTCATCATTCTGCACAGGCAGTGTACCTGTGTGTTCATATGGTTCATTGATTGCATAGTTGGTCTTTGTAGTGGAGATGCAGTGGCTTTACTGTGAGGTACAAACTGAATTGTTAGGCAGCATGTGGATTGATGGACTTCAGGCTTCATAGGGCTGGGTGCAGAACTGGGTTTGGGAATTAATTTTGATTCATAAACTGGGGATTTGCATGATGTGCATGAAGCAGACACTCTTAATGAGGGCCATATATGTCCACATGTTTCAAGTCAGGAACCACTAGATGGATTTTGGTGAAATTTCCCATTAGGAATAAGTCATGAAGCAGCCCCTCTAACTATAAACTGGGGCAGAGATCTAGAGTTCAGAAACATTATATGAGAATTCTACTGCACCTCGCCATGCAAGCCCAGTTAAGTGACTGAGTTTATGGCAGGGCATGAGCCCTGTGCCTCACTGGCTGTAGACAGGGTTCTACTATGGTACAGCAATATAGCACAGTGTCATGATTGACTTCAAATTAATGTGAAGCATACAACTTATTCATATTTCCCAGTAGAGGCATCTGGCAATAGAACCGTGTTACTGCCACATACCTACCTTCTCTGAAACTCTGAGAATGCTTTTGTTGTTATTTTGCTAATCCCTTCTGTGCTACAATTTAGAGTAACAAATTTTTGTATATGTGTGTTACTACATTTTAAATGTGGGGTGGATTTCCAGTGCATTAGAAGGTTCCTGGTGATGGAAGCATTTATAGTTTCTGGAAAGAAGGAAGTCCACCTCATCGTATTGTGGTTGAGTGCCAGCGAAGACTTAAGAGCATTCACTATTATGAAACCTTGGGATCATATGTGGTGTGATTTCTGTCTCAGTATGACCAGTATAAGACTCCTATGGAGAACATTGGCCTGCAGGACTCGCTGTTGTCTCGTTTTGATTTGCTGTTTGTGATGTTGGACCTGGTTGATGGGGAGCATGATCGCGTCATTTCAGACCACGTTGTGCGGATGCATCGATACAGGTGAGCAAGATTTAAACCAGTATGTAGGGTGAGGACACTTTGTCATTTATTACTTCACATTCTGGCCTAACACTGGGAAATGCTTTCTCCTGCATATGTCAGAAGATTGCATTCCCAGTCTGTATGAACTTGTGAAATTAAAGTCATCAGGGATGTGATGATGTTTGGCAACATTTTGGTGTAATACAAGGCTCCTTTTTCAGGGTTGAAGAGTAAGCCAAGTGATGGAATAAGCAATCAAGCTGCAAGTTTCCATATGTGTCAAGAGTTTATTCAAATCTATCTGCCTATTGTTGAAGCATATCTTTTGTGTTTCATTTATGTCATTCTTATGGAATTGTGTGATTAAATTGACATTCATCGCGGTCATTTGTCAGTTCTGTGTCTTTTCCTTAATCCACACCACAGTGTTCAGATAGTAAAATGCAAAACAGTGTACACCAAAAATTGCAGACTTAATTCCAGTTGTTGTATGATGCAGTGTAACTGAGAACTTCATTATAGTTGAAGACAATTCACATTGTCAGTTTCCTGATGTTATGTGTCAGGAGAAACACAAAATGAGGAATTTTTTTCCTCCAGCACCTTCATTATATATGATGATTACCAAATAGCTGTAAATTTTTTTATGTAGTGTGATACATCATCGGAACTTGCAGTTCTGGTTCCCAAACCATATGTAGCAAGAGCTGCATGAAGGTACCAGTAACCCATCCTCTGTCCATGCCCCAGAATCTGGATAGACCTTGAGGCAGAAGTAACCACCATACATTTGTGAGTGTCTTTCAGAAATCCTGGTGAACAAGATGGGGAAGCCCTTCCCATGGGCTCTTCTGTAGACATGCTGAGCACGCAGAACCCAGACCTGGCAGAGGGAGACAGTCTGAGCACTCCTATTTATGAGAAATATGACTCTCTCCTTCATGGTGGGACACGAAATCGCAAGTAAGTATGCACACCTTGTCGCATCTTGTGGAACTGCAGAGCTGTATACCAGTACATTCTAGCAAGTTCAGGTTCGTGCTGAATAGTGCCTTAAAGACAGGCCACAAGTACGTCATGCTTTCCTCATGTTACATTCAAATAACCTCTGCAGTTGACACGGTGATGTTAAATGGACCTGCTAAGAAATCTGGTAAAATAGGATTTATGTTTTCTGTTTGAGAAATGGTAAATATGGGGGGAAGAGGGAGAGCTGTTTGTGGTGTGCAGGTCATCTTGCCTGTGTGTATCTCTCACCAAATGCAGGTGATAGAAATGGATCCTGATTATTCCCATACTGCTTGTTATGGATCCTGATTATTCCCATACTGGTTGTTATGGATCCTGATTATTCCCATACCGGTTGTTTCTGTCTGTACATCTGTTTGCTCCAGCGTGTAATATTTTGGTTCTGCTGTTACACAGGGACAAGATTATCAGTGTGTCCTTCATGAAGAAGTACATTCACATTGCTAAATGTATGAAGCCAACTCTGACTGAAGAAGCTTCTGAAGCCATTGCTGAAGAGTACTCACGCCTGCGTTCTCAAGACACAGTTGACACTGACGTTGCCAGGGTACGTATAGGAGGAGAACCATCTCTGTTCTGAATTTGTTTGCCTTTCCAAATAAATACTCTTATCCTTTTATTTTGACTTTGTGTCTATGTGCCACCATTCGGTCCATATTTGTTTTCAGCAGATGAAGTAGGTTCTGACCATTCTCTTCATTCCACCATTTCTCATTTGCAACTAGCACGGTTTACAGGGTGCTTCTGCACAGATGAACATGCGTCACTTATGGAGCTGAGCCCTTCTTGAAAGCCGCCACTTGTGCAGCTACTCAAGAATTTCCCAGCCTTTTATGGAAACTGAAGGTTCATTACCATGTTCACAAGAGTCCTCCACTGGTCCCTATCCTGAGCCAGATCAATCCAGTCCATACCATCCCATCGTATCTCTCTAAGATCCATTTTAATATTGTCCACCCACCTACGCCTTGGTATTCCCAGTGGTCTCTTTCCATCTGGCTTTCGCACCAATATCCTATATGCATTCCTCTTCTCCCCCATTCATTCTACATGCCCTGCCCACCTCATCCTCCTTGACTTGATCATTCTAATTATACTTGGAGATGAGTACAAGTTATGAAGCTCCTCATTAAAATTCATTAATTCCAGACACAACCAGTAACAGCTCGAACCTTGGAGACTCTGATCCGGCTCTCGACAGCGCATGCGAAGGCCAGGCTGTCTCGTACTGTTGATATCGACGATGCCCAAGCTGCTATAGAACTGGTGCAGTTTGCTTATTTCAAAAAGGTAGTTCTCACTTAATAGTTAGTATTGTTTACACTGTGACCACAGACACTGATAGAAGTGGACAGTATTTACATAATGTAGTGGGATGGTTTTTTCTGACTTACTGGTTTGTGTGTGTTAATGTGATGCAACATGTTGGTGAGTGATGACACAGACTGCTGAATGCTTGCAGAGTGGGCACTCAAATTGCTGTACTTTGTTAAGGTACTGGAAAAAGAGAGAAAGCGGCGTCGTGGTGATGGAGATGCAAATGAAGCCTCCGGAGCTGACAGTGATGCAGAGGAACACCAGAGAAAGAAGTCTAGAAGGGATAAGGTAGTGGGAACCTGAATTTGATCAGTAGTGAAATTATTTCAGTGGAACAAGGCTTCTCCCATCACAGTTTTACCACGATGGTCCACTGTTGGGAAGTGCCTGCCTCCAGCCCTCAGACTTACCGCCTTATTATGTCATGTCTTTGCTCTTTAATATGGGCAGCAGATAACACAAGTTTTGTATTTCCTAACCAACTTGTGTGGATATTTTCACATTGTTCACCTGTTGTATCTGGCATGAACAATGTGAAAGGGTTGAAACAAGACTAATTAAACTTCTCAAAGAACTGGTAATGAAATTGAAATAAGGATAAATCTTTCATATGTTATGTCCACCCACCCTATTGGCAAACGATGACCTTCATTCTACAGTGAAAGCCCCATTTAAGGTTTCTTTGGCACGACTGAATCAAGGAAAATATTAAATGGAGGAAATTTAACATGCAGATTATTGACTTGGGGTTATTGAAATTTAACATAAAATTATGGTTCCACTGTGGGGGCACGCGGTAGTGTAGTTGGTTGAGGGGCTATGCTACAAGCTGGAAAGTTGCGGGTTCAAGTCCTGATAGGTCATTGGATTTTTTTTCAATTTACCTAATCCTTCCAGCCGCACTATGGCCCTGGGTTTGACTCAGCCTCTAACAAAAATGAGTACCAGGAATTAATTAAATAATTTTCCTGGGGATTAAAGGGCGGCTGGTGCGTAAGGTTGACAACCTTACCACCATCTTTGAGCCGATGGTCTAGATAATGTGGGACCCTCAACATCTCACAACCCTATGGGCCTTCACGGCCTGTTACAGGGATAGCTTTACTTACTTTTTTTTTTACTTTTTATGGTTCCACTGTATTGTGGTGCGGCCCTAAAACTGTTGACATATTTGCTCATTAATCTCATGACCTGCATTTTAATATGAGATGCTTCTGATGATTCTGCATGCAGTGAGTGTGTTGGCTTATTTTTGTATCCACCAAGACAGTGCTGTCTGAGTCTTGGAATGGTGAATCAGCTGAAGCCCAGGTGACTGATAGTTGTATTTCATCAGTGCTGACCCCCATACCCTGAGTTACTTGTAGCCACTGCCCCTGTAGTAGCAAGCGGTTTAGAATCTCCTATTATGTGACAGTAAAGGTTACATGAGCAAATTGGCTGGAAATATATTTAGTTATTTTTGTTTTGCAGCCGAGAAGGAAACCTGGTGATGAGAGTTACGACCCTTATGATTGGGATTCTGAAGAGGAAACAGAAGATGTGACTGACAGGCGCAAGACACGGAGTTCTGCCAAGCTTGCCTCAAAACCCACGTCTGCTACTGAAATGGAGACTGACATATCCGTTCCTGATGACACAGCTGCGGGTGCATCTGCAGAACCAGCCTCATCAGCTGTCATCAGTGATGACAGGTAAGCAACACTCACACTTCACACCCTCTAAAGCCTGGAGGTTATCTGTATATTATTTAAAAATTCAGTTCATACCTCACAGAAAACACTCCATCTCCATAATGACTAGCCAGTTAATGGTGTTGAAGGAAATAATCTCTCTTTATTGCGAGAATCATACAGAAACATAAATACACTGTGGGGGCAGAATGCAGAGTTTTACTATGTTAAAGGAGGTGATACATATAATAACCAGTGGGCTTTAAGGGGCCAGAAACTTGGAAGGGGAACAAATTAACTGGATACTGGTACAGAAATTCATCTCATCTCAAATTGTAACATATTGCTACAACAGAAATTTTGAATAGCAGCCCAAGCTGAAGCTGGAATGATTTAATATTTTGTCTTAACTAGTATTCACAGATTCAAGAATGTATTAATTATCCTTTGGTGGTGACTTAAAATTGCGTTTATTCCTTAAAATACAAGATGTTTCATCACATTCAGAAAACCATGTCAGTTCTGTATGGTGCTGCAGTCTTCTGAGAAACACAAGTTATTCAGGAGATGAGGAGCTCGGTGAAACATCGGATGACAATAGGCATGGCACTCCACTCAGGGTGTGGCTGAATAGTAACAATGTAGGTACTGGAACTGTGATAGCCTGGTCTGTTGGTTTCATTGGTTTTGGTTGCAGCATGCATGGCAGAGATGACAGATGCATACATTTTTAGTTGAAAATCTGAAGGGAAGGGCCCAGGCATGCATAACTAGGGAGATTGGGAAGGTGGGGATTTAAGTGATATCAGCTGTTCAAGAAGCACACAAGATCCACATTGATCAGGAAATTGAGGAAGACCATAGAAATAACTACTGGATGAGTAGTGTCAGAACAGGTCCACAAATAAACTGACTCCATGATTGCTAGGTGATCATTGTGAAATATTTTGTAACATGCAACACACAGACTAATGATAGGTGTAGTGTATTGTAGTGTAGCATAGTGTAGTGTAATTTTTGGCATGTGGTTTCAGTGTTCTCTCTCTGTTCACAGGTTGAAATCCTTCAAGGCCAGCTTGGTGAAGGTATTCCGTGAAGAGCGAGCACAGTCTCTGACACTGGAACGAGTTGTGGAATTTGCAAATGGAGAGCAGAGCGGTGAGCCATTCAGCCACGGTGAAGTCTCTGCGGCAGTAACACAGATGACAGATGCAAACCAAATAATGGTAGCCAGTGGCATGGTTTTCCTTATATAAATTGTGCACTATGTGAGTGGGACTGGAGATTATTGTATAAATTTTTTTCTAAACATTTCAGTATGTGAATATAAGAAAACTCTTCCCCCAAGTCACACACCTAATGAGAACAGAAAAAAGGGGTACTGAAGGCCAAAAGCACTAGAACTATTCAGATGTGACTTGACGTACATGCTTAATACAGCTGGTAAGTTAGGACGGCCATGGATGTTCCATATGGGTACTTGCATTGGTAAATAAATAAATACAGATCAATAGGATGGGTGTAGTCAGAATGATTTGATTGTTTTCGATTTGCAAGTGCAAGAGGATAAGTCAAAATTGTATACAATGCCGAGCCTGCAGAAAAACTTATGGGGTGGAATGCCATGTGTGAGCAGTCTGCAGCAGTGTAGCACTCACTTCCACACTGAAAGAGATGGGCGTGAGTCATGATGCGAAGTCACTCTCGTTCTCTATGTGATGATGGCTTTGCAGCTCTGAGTGCAGAATTATACAACGGACAGTCCAAGAAAAATGTGTACTTAGAGAAGAGGCTGGAAATTAAACAAACTGTGAGTTCTTATATTTTCATTATATGTCAAATCCTCAATAAAAAATCTTGAATTTTCATGAAGATAACATTCTTTAATTGAAGTGAAATTATTGTTTTTAAAGAAAACAGCACACTTTTTACTAGTTTTTATGAACTATGGCATATGCCATTCATTGCTGTCTCTAGAAGTGCCAGGACAGTGTCACAGTACTTAGAAATGCAGTGAGACTCCTCCCTACCTCAGCTACAGCAGAAAGATACTGATATTTTGCAGGAACTTGTTGCAGTGTGGAAGCAGTATGTTCTTGTGAAATGTTACTTCTCTTCACTGGACTGCATATTCAAGTGAAAATTACACAGGCTGTTAAAACTACTAGGACTGGGTGTATAGAGTTTCTGGACAGATTATTGCATTGATATGTTCTTTGGGCTGGATGTCATGACGTGTGTATGATGTCCTCCTGAAGGCGGTCGTGTAAGACAAAAACAAGTTATGGAACTGACTGTGTTATGTCCCATTATAAGTAAATGTTGCACTGTACTGGGATCATTTGTAATGCAACTTTAAGTACAGCTATTTGCAAAGCATATTCCTAGTTTTGAAGGTACCTGTGGACTGTGTTCACTGTTCATGGAATGGTGAGGTGCTGTTGGGCTATCTTTTCAGTAATCTTTGATTGACACTGTACATGACACATAAATGTTTGTTGCTGCTGAAGTGGCAAGAAGCAGCCATCTTGGCTACGTGCCAGTATCCTTGAATCATACAGTTGAGCCTGTGCTCCATACCTGCCCCTCCCCATCTTTGCACCTTACTTCACAGAGCAACTGATAGTTGCTCAGCTGTTAAAGAAATTCTTTGGTTGTATGAATCCCATATCTTTGTCACCACATTCACAGATCTCATCATTGGATTATTCTGAACCAGCTGAGCCCCATTTACATCTTCACAACCTGTTTTTATAAGATTCAGTTTAATATTATCTTCCTGAGCTGACTGCTGTACCAGTGAAATGTTTACTTTTGTTCTGGAGGTAACCAGTTTGAATTGCTGGGTATAACCTCAACAGAGTCCTTGTTTTTACTCAGTCTCTTTTTCAAACAGACCTTGATTGCTTGCTTCCTTCCGGATCCCCAGATGATGACCCTTCATGTTCATCAACACCATCCCATCCATTGCATTCACACAAATGAAACAGTGTTGCTGAAAGACTTCAGAATGGATCTGAAGTTCTTTCATAGGTTGCAACACTGGGCAGATCAGACAGGGCCTGATGTTTTGAAGTAACATATCACCTCTGTTTTCATGGGTGAAGTGTGAGTCAGATAAGAAATAAGCTGAAGCAGGTGGCAAGCTGAACCTCTCGTTGGAGTTGAAGAGTAAACAAAGTAAGAAACCAGCAGAGGCTAGTTCAGCTTGCTGCCTGCTTGTGATTATTTCTTTCTTCACTTACGTTTTGACCCTGAAGATGGAGGCATTATGTTCCTTCAAAATGTCAGACTGTCTCCAAACTAAACTGCATTATAATCCAGAAGACTTAGCAGTATTTACTTCCCATAAAATTGTTTCCCTTGCAGTTTTCTAGCAAGATGTCTTTCTTGTTTCCCTTATTATGCTACATGTCCTGCCCATATACTTGATTTTATCATGCAGTCATGAATACCAATTGTGGTCCTTCTTGCACGGTTTTCTCCATTCCCATTACATTATTTATCCCACACTCAAATATTCTCAGCATTAGCATACAAATTGATCACACGACCATGTTCCCGGTCAGTATACTTGCCAAATTATTATACAGGGAGGATTCTTACTTTGTTGATCGGTTCCACTGTGATCAGTGCACTGCTGGCTGTGAGGTGCATATGAATTTTGCCAATGAATCAGCATGCCTGACAGCCGATAACATGTGGACAAATCACAGGAAATGCTGAACATGCTGTCCCTCTACTTGTAGATGTTTTGCAATTAATTGTTTCATTAAAAACACAGGTACAACAATCTTTCTTGCACTTAACAGCGTACCAGACACCAACTTTCACTGGATGGGGCGGGACTTCATGGGTTAGATGTGGATTCTGTGAACTCCAGTAGCGATTATTTTGCGTATTTATGTAACCCTGCAAGTGAAACCAGGCTTTATCAGAAAAGAATCTCACTTTTGACAGACTGTAGAAGCCAACTGCAAAAGTGAACGCTGCTAGCTGGATTGTGTGGCTGCAAGGTGTGGATTAATGTTTCACAGGGTCTAAGCCATCATACATGCTGATAGATATGAGAGGGGAAGGCACTAACTGCAGCCCCCCCCCCCAATGTAAGAACTTCCTTCTTTGCATACTTGTCACATTTACAGTTAATATAGTTGAGTATATGTATGTACAAGTCTGCAAAACCCCATAATGCTAAAGTCGAGTCAGCTGTTATGCAACTCCTTACTGTCAGTGGGAGGAGCAGGATCCAAGATAAAAGTGCAGTTTACCACTAAAATATTTATACAGGTTCTCAAGTTTACATTATTAGCATACATAAATAACTGTGATAAAAAATTTGTGCTTGTGTTGATAAGTTACATAATAGCTTGTTTCACACAAACATGTTTCTTCCCTTAATATTTCAATACATTGTAAGTATTGTTATCATTGTGTAATTCACAAAATACTTTGGCAAATCTTTGCATTCCTATAAAACAAAAACTATTCAAGTCCTATACAACAGCCTCTGTGCACTGGAATAATTTAAGGAAATATCACATTATTTTTAAGGCCGTAGGAGTTTGTTAAGTGCTAGTGCTATGTGATAGTGCTCTGCTAGCGATCATCTTGTTTAAATTCTACTGGGATTAAAGTACCAAAGAAATTAGAATGGTTCAAAGATCTTGTATGTGTATGTCACCTGACAAAACAAGTTCTTTAAATTAATTAATTCTCAAGATCCAGGACAGCACAGTTGATCCTTGCTGAACATGGGTTGTGTTCATCAGAATTGAGGAATCGTTGCAATTCAGTGTAAGAAAATAACTCTGAAACTGAAGTAGTTTGTTTATGTTTATAGAAGTAACTGTAGTGGCACTGGTGGTAATGTAAAGGTAAACAGATGATCACCGCCCTATGAAAATGTATGGGGGAGTGGAGGTATAGCTCCATGTATTTTTATCCTTGGCACTGGGTGTAGGTGAATGATCAACCTTACTCCCTTTCCCTAGGGAATGTGCCCCCAGTACCCATTGCATAAGAGTCTGGGGAGGGGGAAGCAGTCTTGGCACTGTGGAGAGAAGACAACATCTCTCGGCTCTGCTGGGAACTGAACCCCGATTCCTTGGCCATACAGCCTGTAGTCTGTTGCTACATTGAATAAGCTATCTCAGTTCCCTCTAAATAAAGCTGAGCGTGGGAAATTCAGTTAATGTTTGTTGACCAGTTGGTCCTACTTGGCTGGTAGCCAGGGTAACAGTGTCACTCAGTATTGAAAGAGTACAATGTGTGACTATCTGGACCACACAAATGCATCATTACAGTGGTGCAACAGGTGATGAATAAATGTTGATACACAAGTTAGAAGACAGAACAGCTGTTGGAGATGCAAACAGGGTACTTACTGTCAACCATTTTGAGGCAACTTATACAGACAATCTGGAATCAATGTGAACTGCATACAAACACACACACATTTAGGTATGGTGACCATGAGGGTGATGCAGTTATCAGTAGAAGCTGTCACATGTTCAACAAGGATTGACTGTAATTGGCTAGTGAAGGCCTGCATGTGACATATGCCAACACTGCCAAATACTGGGACTTGAGAATCCAATATACACTTGAATCTAATGACATGCTGTCCATACCTCGCACACATGACAATGCTTCACACTGCACATACTTTCTAACCTTTGAAACTGAACTGACTATTGGTCAGCAGGCCATCACTGGTCACTGATCATACAGGCTAACACTGTATAACCATTTGAGCCCCTGATCCATGCACCGATACTGCCTGTACAGTGTTATTTAGGGAGATGGTCTCCATAACTTTATGGATTTGTCAGATCCATTTTTCAGGAAATCAGATTTTTGGAGCCAGAATATTCACATTCACTGGGCAATGACCTGTGATGCATATAAACTTTCAAATATCAAACAGAATCTGTCCTACTATTCAGATGATAGCACGGTGCATAGACAGACAGGCAACATTAAAAAAAAATCACTTTTCCATACTCAAGAGGGCTGAATTGTCTAAGTCTCTCCTCAGAATCTCAAGACTGACACTTTCCCATATGTGCAGAAAACATGTACATCCAGAAAAATCTTGGCATTGATTTTTTTGGCATTACAGCACTTCCTGATATATATTGCATACAAGAGGAAGTAAAAAAATCGCATTACTGCAGCAATTCCCAAACTCTAGGACCACAGACAAATTTCACTAATAAGGTAATTTGTTATGAATTACAGTTGCAAATACAAAAGCTGATTCCATTCAAGATATAACCACTATTGTGGCTTCAGAGCATGATTCACAGGTATGCTGAAGAGTCTGATTTCTTCAGACCCATAAGTTCAGTTAATAAGATATTCACTGGACAGTAAAGCCTCTTCAGTTTTGAGGAGCAGTCCAGTTGCTGGATCATTTCCGACAAATGCTCAAATAGTACACTGGAGTAATCTGTGTCCCTCCTTGATGCATTATCTCCACTTAATTTGATTTTGTATAACCACTGCAGTTGAAATAGCATCACCGATTGGCTGAAGCAATGGCATGTAAATTTTCCTTCAGTCTCCATTAGGAATACAGAATGAAAATGTGTGAAGCACAGAATTTCTTTTTTGTGTACACTTAAGTACCATGCCATGATATTTGGGGAGTGGATGTATAGCTCCACATATTCTAACCTTAGCACTAGGTAGAGAGAAGAGGTAGCTGCAGGCTGTGGCTGATTTACCCCAAGGAAATAGCCACTGATACCCACTGGACTGGATGCTATGGAGAGAAGGGTCTGTACCCTGCCAGGAATCACAGCCAAACCATCCAGCCCATAACCAGAGACTGCAATGACTGTGTACGTGCTATTCCATTTTATTTATAGCTGTGGTATTTTAATTTGTCTGACCAACAGAAAGTTTGGAAGTCACTGCATCACAGAATCTGCTACACTCTATGCTCCCGTCATATTTACATCAACTAAACTTGTGTAAGCGTGATCCACTGCAACCTGTGCAAAGCAAATATAACAAACTACTATTCTAGTTACACCAGCCTCAATCACACTGCATGACACAACCAGTTTTATTCTGTTCTACATTGTAGTCCACATGCTGACTAAACTTAACATAAAATCAGTATATTTTGTTTGTGCTTCCATAGTGAGGCAAAGCAACAAGCAATTCTTTTATGTGTAATTCCAGATGATGGTAATGGCTTTCTTACCACGGACAATTACTAATGAATACATCCACTGCAGGACAGAACAGTGTCTCTAATGAGATATATTTTTAGTACTGAAACAGTTAATGAATGATGTAATTAAAACTGTGATACATCAAAACACTGACTCTGATTGCTACAAGAATTTCCTCTGATTACAAAGAACATTTTATGCAAGCTGTGACTTGTATATGAACTCCTAGTGCAGTTATGACAACTGTTTCATTGTTATGTTGGCACTACATTAGATAACACAAGATACAGCCTGAAAACTTCATGTTCTGCTACTCAGACAATTGTTCATGGACATCGTGTTCATGGACATCATTCATTCATTATACTGCAGATTTAATGAAGAATTCTGTCAAATTATTTACGCATTTTTATTATAATTTCAGCATTCATGTAAAGCGCTTCGAACCAAAAATAATATTTAAAGCATAAACTCAATATTATGTTATTCAAACGAGATCTGACACATTTAACAAATTATACAGCACACTATGCAAAATGCTTTTTTTCCCCTTTTCACAAACACTTTGTACATGGCTGTACAAGCTATGAGATCCTTTGGAAATTTTCACTATGCACAAAATGAGTTTATCCTTTTTGCTGAAGCTAGAACTGCTGCTAAATCTTGACAAACAGCAGTTACACAGTCTTACTTTATTAATCCCACATTCTGCAAAGGGTGATATTTTTTTTTTCATTATATGTTAATAGAGCTTAAATAAGTGCACAAAATAACACTAAAATGCATGTAGTTACTATAGGATTCTGACGATGGTGTATAACACACTGATATATTGGGTTTCTGGACTTTATCCATCGTCCTGGTTTTTAAGATAAATAAAAACACGACGTTTCGGAAACTGNCTAATATGCATACTTCTTAACACATCAGTTGCAAACTGTAATTTACAAATCCCAATACTCCAAAAGAAAGAAACACATTTAATGATGCACTGTCACAAAATTATCTGAAATTCATAAACAGAATGGTACACATGGGTTGCTATATTTCTGTGTGTTAAGACAAGGAGACCAACTGAAAGACCTAGGCAGAAATGCAAGGATGCTACTAAAATTAATCTCAAACAGGTTGTAAGGATGTGGACTGGATTCAAATGGCTTGAGACAGGATCTGGTGGTGGGTCTTTGTAAATTTGACAGTGAGTGCTCAGCCCCCATTAAAATGTGCAGAATTCCTAACCAGTTGCACAGCCTCACTGTTGAGGACATGTTGTGCACCATGCCATCCAAATGCTTAGTTACATGGACTTTGTTTCCTTTCAGATGGGGAATAATTTGTTAAATAAGAACCCATCCATTTATTTAGCTGCCTAGGGATGGTCTAGTTTAATTGCATACATTCAGCAGAGGAAATTGTAAGTGATGTGCTACCATCCGTGTTCTTCAGATTTATAGCTCATGTGAGAAAGGGAACTGATATTCTGTGTTCTGTAATTCCAGAGGGGCCTTATTGTAGGGGAACTAAAGGTAGATGGAACTGAATGGATATTCATACAAAGCAATAAATGAAGAGGAAGGAGACGAGGAAACTACAAACAAATGTTATCCACAAAGCTGATACTAAAAGACAAGCAGGGAAAGCAGGCTGAAACAGACTACTAGGTCTGTAATTCAAGAATTATTATCCATTTATGAAATTCAAATTTACAGAGTTCTACATCCTGACTACAGATATATGGTAGTATGTCTGCTCCATTCTGTTTTAAGGAAACATTAATTTTGAGTGTGGAAGTTTTAATCTTTTCCATAGTATGTTATTCACCGGACTTATTCACTTGGATCTTACACAAAACTGTTGAACAGTTCTGTTTCCTTAACAATAATCTGAATTGTGACTCCACCCTGAAAATTAATCAAGTGTGGAATGAAACTTCAACCTTAAATAACTTCGTTCATACAGCTTCCCATTGTCGATTCCAGTCTTTGTAACAGAATTATAACCAGTGGCACTGCTACAAGGTCACTATATTAAACCAAGAATAAAAGCACAAACAGGTTCAGAGAGTTGGATCATGCTGTATCATATTACATTTGTCCTATTGGACAACTATTGCAACTTCTGTGAGCTTGCATATTTATCCCTCTTAATTTGTTTGTCTGCATGTTATTTAATGATATTGTACCAATTGCTCAGGTTGTTTAGCATCAGAGAAGGGGAGCAGGCCATGTTTCAATACACTTGCCTGGAATTACTGCTGAGGAAAACAATACAGGGCTTCAGTCAAGATAATGGGTACCTCAGCCAAGGTTCGAACCAGACTTCTGCATACAAGTAAGACATGCTATCATTTGAGGTAATCTGCCGTTTTGTTCTACCGATTCGTCAACATTTAGAAGTAAATATAACTAAACATGGAAGATTTGTATATGTGTTACAATCTGTCCGGGTTCATCTAAAATTGCATTTGTGCAGGAAACTAAAAACACACTTTCATAAGCTAAAGTACAACACAGGACGTTACCAGGTGATTCTATGCTTGTTTAATGATGATGTATCTGCTACACAATCTTGAAAATTAGGAAAACTGTGAATTATGTACTGAAAGTGATTATATATAGCCTATTTTAATAACACTATCTCAATAATATTCTTGAGAGACTGGGAAAAATCATGTAAAGGATGGTGGAGGTTTAAACCCATAACCTCACAAATTAAATGGCAATTCAAGGACCCTTTTAATGTCAGTATCAACTGCACAGGTTGTCTGAAAATGACTGTGATGAATGACATGTATGATGAATTCAAAATGATAGGAAGGAGCTGGTCATAAGTACTAGAAGTGAGGACAGCCAGGCACTGGCCATGATCCAACTGCCTATCACTGTTGTGCAGCTCACGAGGCTGTCAGTGAATGAAATGTGGTTCCCTGATGCCATGCCACTGTTTACAATGTTAAGGATGTAACATTATTCATCTTGCAACCCAGTCATGGCAAAACTGGAGACTTATCACCACAATCACCATATTCTCCTCAAGAATATACTGTATTATATGCAGCTATAGTAACAACCAGTTTTATTTGACAACACCATCATTACTTGAAACTATAGAGTTTAATAATAAGATGATTCGTGAAATAGGAATGGGAGAGGATGTGAAAGGGAAGTCATGACCTACTCTGAGGTCTATCCCAGCATTTGCCTGGGTGGACTGAGGAAAACCATATAAAGCCTCAGGAAATGAAAGCTTTGAGCCAAGATTTGTGTAGATGTCAGGATTAAAATATGAAATCACAAATTACAGAAACATTAAAAAACAATCCTGACAGAAAATGGAGCAAAATGAAAAATGCTCCATCAGAAAGCGATGAGGCAAAGCAGTGATAAATGAGGTATGACAGGCAAAAGGTAAAGCTGTCCCTGTGCCTAATTAAGCACAACACCAAGAAGATTTGGGGGGGAGCGGAGGTGTAGCTCCACCATTCTTGACCTTGGCACTAGATGGAGATGAGTAGCCAGCTTGATGCCCCAGCTACTTTACTTCCAGGGAAAGAGCCTCCTGGCACCCACTGGACAGGAGGCTGGGTGGGCCTCAGAGCTGGTCTGGATGTTGTGTTGCCCCTGCAGTTAACTGATGCCCAGCCATCCAGTATGTAGCCTGTCGCTATACCAACTAAGCTATGACAGCTCTTGAATGAGATCTGGAAAACTGATTACTGATGAAGAATTGGGAGATTTGTGGAATTTGTTGGTCTATTTGAGATATAATCTTGGGAGTCTGAGGAAAAACAACGAAACTTACAAGATCCCAAGCAACAGTTCAACTTGGTTTTCCTGCATGTACATTGCAAGTGTTCCCATTGTGCTACCAGACTGGGTGTCTCAGTACCTCAGTTCTCTGTCAAATTATGTAGTATACAGTGTGTGAGCTAATGCTGGTGCATCTGTTTTGCTTCTAGTCTCTAATAATGGTTCATGGCTGGTGTACAGATTATTTGTGGGTGGAATTCTTTTGAGAATATGATGATCTTAATATGACACACAAATCACTCTGTAGAACATGTTCAGATCTCACAGAGGCCTCATTTGGAGTGATGATATACCATTCTTCAAGGTACTGGTAAGTTCAGTTGTAATTTATAATAAAGCTCTTGTTTGTTTGTTTCAATCACTAACAGGATCGATCTGCAACACAGCTACAGCAGTTGCACAAAATCTGTTAAATAATGTTGTAAGTAGATGTTCACTGGGCAGAAATGAATTGGAAGCATTTCATCGGCACTCCTTAGCAGTCAACTTCTCAATCAGTTCTTGAAGAGGAGCTAATTCCCTTCGGTCAATAAGATTGAATTCCTGCAACAAAAAGACAAAATTCTTAAGCAGAGGAATGCACGTTATGTTCGAAACATTTCCTTTTTTTATTTTTTTTTTTCTTTATTGTTAGTGGGGTGGGATGAAGTCCCTTGTACTGCAGCCACTTCTGGCCTATTGTACCAGCCCCAGATGATAGGTGAAGGTGATTGTGGAGCAATTGGTGGAATGAAGATTGGCAAGGGAAACCGAAGTACTCGGAGAAAACCTGCCCCAGCGCCACTTTGTCCACCACAAACCCCACTTGCCCAGACCCCGGGATCGAACCCGGGCCGCCATGGTGGGAAGCCAGCAACTAACCGCTTGAGCTATGGCGCAGCCTAAATATTTCCCTCGCTTAAATGTCTCTTGAGTTCAGAAGTGGTTTGCATAAAGTTCCTCTTGTGCTTCTGCATCTCCCAGAATGGTGAATTAGAGGACATGAAGGAAGGCCCCTTCACTTTATAAAACTCGGTACTACACGTTAGAAGATAGTCCCCATTTAAAATTACCTCAAAAACATCGAGACTTATAGAAAAAGTGTATTATGCATAAAACACGTGTTTTCAATTTCTCTACAACTTTTATTCAGAACATTTTTTTGCTCTCATAAAACTATGTGGCTAGGTACACTCGAGATTTACGCAGAAACAGATGTGCCTCTTCACAGAAAGTGTCCAGTATTGTTGCCAAAGTTAAAATGTGTTTGAACAGGTGGATAAATGCAGTGAAAGTAATGGGCACACTTCTGTGTTGTCTGTTGCATCTCAAGAACAGCGTCCACTTATCACTTATATGTTAGTTAAGTGAAAATATTCATTGTCCAATTTGGTATCTGCCAAAAAGCTACATGAAAGAATTCAATGTTTTTGCTTACTATGCTTGTGCTTGAGAACTGCACCTTGCAGGTACACATGAGGACCTGTAATTACAGTTTGGGAATCACTGTCAACCATGAGTCACATCTGGACTGAACTTCATACCTGAACAAAGAAGATAAAATGCTTGAAGGATGTGTTGAGATGCGCTTCCTCACCTAACTGTACCACTTCTGAGAAATGCTGGTGGTAGATGTGGGCATAGACTCGAAAAAGTCGCTTCAGGATAGTTTTCGCTATTGAGAGGAAATTCTTAGGGAAAGGAACACCTGCAACAGAATACAAAACATGGTTTACATACCAGATTTGAGGTTCGCACAGCAGGGAGTATGAAGACTGCAATCTTCTGGGGCTGTGAGACTGTGCAGTCCAGGTACCAGCATTTCAGAGGAACACAGTAAGGTAGTACGGTGTGTATGAGACTGGGCAGTCTCACATTTCAGATGACTGTGGTTTTAACAGCTTACATGTGTACCAAACTGAACCTCAAACCTCAGGATCTCTTACCTATTTTAGAGGGAAAGAGTGTTTCGTCATCAAGCTGATCTTGCACCCAAGTCATGAGGTAGTCGATGTACTTGGGTGCAGAGCATTTAATGGGCTTCTTGACTGTCAGGCCATCAGCCCAGTGGTATTCATATTTTGGTCCTGCTGACATGATTGGACAGCTTTCTTCCGTGCAAAATTCCGTGATGGTCCCATACAGCATGTTTATTTGGTTAAAGAAATCTACAGCTGGAACAAAGAAATATTTGTGGTATAAACAAGAATTAATACAAAGCAGAAGTTTGCCCCATACACTTCTGTTCAAGATTATGTCATCTCTTGTTGCATTACAAATCAGGTTCATTTTCAGGCTAATGCAACTACTGAAGTGTACAACTAGTTGCAGAACATGCATTTCTTGTGAAATATTTGCTAAGGAACCGTTTGCTGAAAAGTGGCCAAGCAGTCTCAAAGGCATGTTCTGCCGACTGCTTGAACACTAGATTGTGTGCTGAAATCCCACTTGGGACATGGATGTATGTCCATGGTTTTCTGTTCGTATTTGCTTCAGTAGGCGCAGAGGTTAATTCTATAATGATATGTACACTTACAAGAAATAAAAAATGAGGACGGCAGAAATGTTAACGTTACACACAGAAGTGGGGAAAGCTCAAGTGCAGTATGAAGACTGGGGCAGGCAATATCCGCACCACTTGGTGCATTTTAGTTACAGGAAAAACAAACAATATTTTGCAAACTTTTAAGGGTACATGATACCTTTAACAGGCAGTCCGGCATGTTCAGTGAGATTTCTGGTCTGGCAATTTCAGTTTACATTTTGTGTTGAAAACAGAATCTGGTAACTCTGTAATGCTAATGTAGCGGTCAGTGTCGATGCACCCTCAAAGATGTTTGTGTACAATGATCTACTTTTGTAAAAATAATATCTACTGACATAGTTCCTGCAACCCAACACAGGAGGAAAGGGACCAGGGGACAAAGCTGGACACAGTCATCACTTACTGTTCACAGCTACCCATTCATTCAGATCCTCCCCTTCAGGCAACAGAACGGCAAGCCTGAGATTGCCGGAGCCCAGTGTTGCTGCTGCATGCTTCATTAAGTCATACTGATGCGTCCCTTCAGGAATGTTCTTCTTTGGTTTGAATGTTTTTGAAGAACGGCTTCCACTGTTTAAGAACAAAACAGAACAGCAAATGTTAACAATGAATTTGAAACAATTTGCCACCTCAGTACAGGAGTGTACTGTGTCCATCAACATGAACTGTCAGCAAACCGGGTTTGAAGTTTGGGAATCAACTGCAGTTTAAATGTGACACACTTGCAACTAAGGTAAACAGACAGAAGTGCGTGAAGATGATGCAACATAATATGGAGAATCAGGAAAGGGCAATATCTCATTTTCACAACACTCCAGCAGCAAATTGTGAGTGAGTGCTACTAACATGGCTCTTATAAGCAGGTGCTGGGATAGACAGCTCAGTCAATATAGTAACTAGGCTATAGACTGGACAACTGATAAATCAGGGTTCAATTCCAAGTATAGGCGAGCAATCTTCTGCTTCTCTGGGCGTCAAAACCATTCATCCTTCTATACAATGCATATGGAGGGCAACGGGCATAAAGCTAACCACTCACCTCCTTATTCTGCCTAGGTTAAGAATGCATGGAGCTATACCTACACTCCCCATGTCTTCAAGCTGCGGTGCATAATAAATTATACACAGGGAAAACTTATCACAAAAAAGGTAGTATTATCAACAGCTACGGAAATCTTCACTGTCTGTCTGAAGACACATCAACTCCTGGTAATGGAAAAAACAGGGTGCAAAAGTATTTTAAGAAGTTAATTGAATACAGTTGCCCACATCTAACTAAACTGTATGAACTCCATATTTTTAATGAAACATCACAGAAATATTTATAAAAAAGTCTTTATACCCCTAAAAGAATGAACAGCCAAGTTCAATCCCATGTGTATATTTGCTCTCATTGATGACATTTGTTGTTAATAATTTGGATACGTTTCAAACCAATAACTCTGTATATGTGATTGGTACCAGAAGGAATGACCACCTTCATATACCTTCAACACATTTATCATCCTTTCAGAGAGGGGTGTATTATTCAGGTGTCAAGCTATTTAACAATCTGCCATCAAATACCAGTTTTAAAAAATGATAAAAAGCAATCTAGGCTTGTTTTATGAAATTATTTGCAAAATAACTCATTTTACTCTATTGATGAATGTGTCGAGTATGCAAGGGGCTCAAGAGTTAATAAATGGTCTGTGTGCGTGAATTATATACTGTTGAGACTTACTTGTAAGTGTAGTGGTATGTATGATCTCTGTTTTTGTTATTAATTTTATAATGTAAATGGATATGGCTTGCCAGTGTTTGTGGAATGGCAAGGTGTGAATTTGACAGTGTTTTTTCCACAACCTATGTGTGTTGTCCTGACAACTTGTGCTGTGTGAGGCCTCATTATATATTTTATTGGACCAAGGACAAATGATATGTAGTCATCATGAATTTGTAATATGTGACATGTTTTATATCCAACCCTACAGGGAGATGACTGGATCCATGAAGGGAAAAAAAAATAAATGTAAATGTAAGTACCACAGTTCCTTAACTACAATGTCATTCCTTTATCCAAAACTGCGAATGACCCTCCTGTCTACAGTTCCTGGAAGTATGACATTTGGATTCAGGGGCTAGTCTTCACGTCACGCCTCAAGTCCTATAGTTCTCCCAGCGATAAATAACCATGTCTATTTCATTCTGTTTTACTTGTATCTACGACCGCCCTTAGCATTCTAAAATGAAAATGGAAAGTCATGAACGTAAAATTTTGGACTTTAATTCAAATCAACATGCGAATAATCTAACAGTTAATGTATGAGAATACGGGAAGGTGCGTCGGTATGTCAAACGGCTGTTCGGAAATATAAAGCCCACTCTGACAATTCCCAAAATCGAACTCAAATTTACTGAATATAGATTGCACTGCGAGCTTGGTATCTGAAAGATTTAACGTTTCGTCATTACCGATCAGCAGATAAGAACCTTTGGTGTACATATATTCGTTTCCTTACAGAGGACAGTCGTGGTTAGTTGAAAGCACTCACATATCGTAATATTTCGGTTACATTCTGATATCAAAATGTAAACACAGCGAATGAAACTGAAAACTTACAATAGGAAGCTCATTATGCGATTCCAAATCCTTGCTTCTATTAAAGTACAACGCACCAGAATTACAGAAAGTTACACCCAGCTGCTTAATATTTTTTTGCTTGCTGTAACGTCACTCCTTTTAAATTATACGATACAGACTTGGCCCATCCATTTGTCACTCCATACGACATACCACAGCTGAGTTCATCGTAAATATGGCTGACAACACGTCATTTCCGTACGTGCGCAGTAGTTACGTGATTCTTTCGCGGCCCATTCGTCTCCACGGTCTCCACGTCCATGCGAAAGCTGATGATGGAAGCAGCAGGTTCCTCCGAAACGTTGATATGTATCTATTAAAGTACATGATGTAACATTAAAGAAAGAAAAGGCAGCAGCTTCCTCCTTAACGATGGTACGTACCCACCAACTACGCGTCGTAACATGCTACAAAATAACAGATTTCAGTCACTTTCATGGGAGCCATAAGTCGCACAGGAACTTTCATGTTTATGAGTATAATGTCTATAGGTTATCCTGACCTCAAGGGTTTCAAATTTCCATAACTGTTACATTAAAATATCACTCACTGAGAGGGATTTGAATCCGTTTCCCCAGCGCATACATGTTCCAAGACTGTAGCTGCTTTCATCCATCCAACCACCGGATTTTGACAGACATGATATTTAATTTAAATTTTATGACATAGGAGTCAGTATAACGACGAACTACAGACTGATGAGCCGAGGAATCAGGGTTTGATTCCCGGCAGATGCAAGATTTTTTTCTTGCAATCTTTCATTCTTATGAAAACATTTCTTATCTTCACTTCGGGGTACTAGGATCGAAGTTTGACCGAGGTTGGCTGCCTGTCCGGTATTTACCTCAGTGCCTTCAATTTTATAGAGGGAGAAATCTTGTAATATCCTAAAGCAACTACTGCCACTTAAAGTGAATAAATATACGAAGCGACGATTTCTGTTCAAATTCTAGATACCCACTGCATGTAATAAAATTTACATCTTCCAGTCAGGATTTCATTTTCAAGCATAATTTTGCATGCTCTTCAAATTCAGATTTAGACGAATCTTACTTTACAAACTTACTCTAATAAAGTAAACTGCCAAAACATATCTTCGTGACAAGCTTCAGGTTTACGATCCAATATAGAATAGAAGGTATTTTCATTCCGTACATCCTTCGTAGTACTAATCAAAGACATGCAGAACATGGCATAATATGTATACGATTGCATAACTAATTTAGCGTAGAATCGAGTGTCGATGAAGCTCATATTCATATTTTTATTGGTTCCAGAAATCCACATTTTGCAATACAGCCTCCAGATATAGAACAAATCAGCATGCATGTGGTCTGGAATCAGTTCGCGTTATACCGTCACATATAAATTATTTCAACGAGATATCGCTAGTTCCACGACACTTCTTGATTTTGCATGAACATTTTCAGGTAGACAAATTTTGATGGGACCTCGTAAAATAACACGCAAGTTATGACAGCATGGATTGCGATATGCTTCACGGCATGTATGATTGTTTCATTGCAGCGCAGATACATTAATACATGTGGGATCTGAGACAAAAATTTTCTATGTTTGCTTCTAGCTATCATGGTTTTCCTTCCATGACGACGTGCCCCAAATCCACGGATCCACTGAAATAACCCAAACTTCTGTCCGAAATATGAACGTGATACAGTGTCATGGGCGTCATGGGACTACATTTGTCAACTAAGCCACCGGAAATGTTTGGCGACCGAACGCGCCCTAGACGCCATCCGTATTTGGCAATCTTGAAGGAAGCCATTTTGTGTTAGCAGGTAAAGAAGCGGCATAAGATTAAGGATTAAATAAGTTTAAATTGTGGTAAGTAGTCATTAGTGTTTCTTTCGTACGTATTTCTGTCTAGGGTGTAAGTTGCGTAAAATTACTGAATAGAAGTGCTGGTTTAAAGTATTTACGAAATAAGCTGTGGTCCGGGTATGCATGATAGAAGCTTTCGAATGTATGGTACGTAACATACAGGCTTGTTTCATTGCCTCCAGAACTTTTCAAGTGAATTTAGTGATTGTTCTGAATGCTACATCCGCTTAGGTGGTACCGCACATACAATTCGACAAAAAGTGTACTTTCGCAAGTGGATTCAAGCATCACGTTGGAGGCTGTTGTGCAGGTATTGTATAAACAGTGGACAGCGGATCTAGTTATAGATAGGTCCACCGAAATTAAAAATTTCTGCACTTCCCGCATTTTCTGTTGCTATCCACATGGTAGAACGCCTTCTGGATGAAGGTTTCTTTTCTCCCTGAGGAGAGAATGAAGATCCCTGATATCTACATTGGAGGTCGTGCCTATGTCAGAATTACATTGAAGATACTGGTTATGTAACATCTAAATATATTTATAAAAAGGAATTTTTTGGGTTTGTAAGTTAACCTGATTTATGATTTGATGTACATAGTTTGCTTCATAGAATCTGTGGATATGTGTGGAATGTAATGTATGTAACTTAGCTTTTGGCACTCAGTCTTTGGGATGGATTCTTACTGCTGGTGAGAGGGGCCATAGCTCAAGCGGTTAGTCGCTGGCTTCCCACCGCGGCGACGCGGGTTCGATCCCGGGTCTGGTCAAGTGAGATTTGTTGTGGGAAAAGTGGTGCTGGAGCAGGTTTTCTCTGAGTACTTCGGTTCCCCCTGCCAATCTTCATTCCACCAGTTGCTCCACAATCACCCTCACCTATCAGGCTGGTACACAGTAGGCCAGAAATGGCCACAGTACAAGGGACTTAGTCCCACCCCACTAGCAATAAATAGAAACTGCTGGTGAGGCTTTTGCCAAGTCGTATCCTGTAGGTTGCTGCATTGTAGACTAAACTTGCAGAGAGCTGCTGTGTCTGTTGCTTAATAGAGATATAGTTAAGATTCATTGCATTACCAGAATGCTGTTTGAATTTTTTAAACTTCTCGCCTTCCATACCAGACCTTATTTGAAGGTATGGTGCCGCATAATTGGCCTAATATGCCTACTTTGTGGTACAGAAAGTGTAAATTTTCAGGAGTACCACTGTTTTTTTTTGTTGGGCATAATTTTTTGTTGGAGCTTTGTTTTTTGGAAATGTTAATTTTATTTCCTGCATTAAAATTGATTGCAGCTGTAATTGTTTGCTTATCTGTCACATTGGATAAACAAAAAATTAGTACAAGTTAACACAACAGGATGCATTCTTTGGAGATTAATTGCAGTCTATTGAAACATAACCTTTTTTATTTGTACACAGAAGGGTAGAATAGTGTGTTAGGCCCAACATTTTGTGTGATTCTTATAATACCATTAACAAAAGTGCATATAGAGTTAGTAGTGTTTTAGTACATATTTTGTCCCTATTTCTGGGCCATCTGAGGGTGTTACTTGTAAAACATCAGTTATATGAATTGACAATGCTATGTCAATACATTCATTGCAATGGATGCATTGTTCATACTGTATTATGCATAATTGGATTATAATACTTCAGAACAAGGACCAGTGTTTTATTAAAATGCATGGGATGACAATTCAGGTGACTGATGGTGATGGCATAATGAGAATTACATGTGTAAAAAACAGTAGAGTGCTAAAGCTGAAGCCTGCTTTTTTTCTATCATTCTGTATAAATGACATGCTGTGTTTCGTGGATCCTGTGAAGTTCCCTAATAATGCCACTTCTCTCATGTGTATGTTCTTCAGTTCCATGTCAGTCACTGATTCCATATTGGTTATTTGCACATAAGTCTTTTTGCTGTCACCAGGGTTTGTGTTGAAAGTCTCTGTCTAGGGTATGTTATTTTGGCTTTTGATATTTCAAACACAACATTTATGCACCTTATTCCCCATATGAGAGATTATATTATCATGCAAGTAGATTTTATTTATTTATGGTTTCTTGAACATTTCTCTTGGTATTCCATCCACAGTGACAAATGGTAGGGTGATTGGTGAGTAATGAATTTGGAAGGATATGGAGAGAAGTGGTTGTGTCTGCATGTGTGTGGGTAGGGACTAGGAAAGTTACAAAAAGCTGCAGGGAGGATAGTCTGTATTCGAGCTGATAATTGAACCAGGCACCTGCCTCATGAATAAAAATCAGAAGTATTACTGCTTGAGCCACATTAAATGGTGGTCAGAGTTTAAGATTTTGTCCTTTGGAAAGGGGAAAAGAATTTGCAGGTTTATTACTGTATGTATGTAACCTGTTGGCTGGGGAGAGTAAAAGGTATCGGGACATCCTGTAGTTTTCAATGAAGAATTTTGTGTTGGAAAACCTAACTAACTTAGGTTGTGTTCAGTGACCACTAAAATCCTGATAACAAACAGTAGGTGGCATCTTGTTTGTATGTGGGATGGACAGTGTCTTGACTTCATCTGTACTTTACAGCACAAAATTCAGATTTTGTTTTAATGTAATGTGAACATCACAAAGGTAATATCGTTTAGTGCCACATTTGTTTCCAAAGTAATTTGGATGAGAGTAAGTGTTGTAACAATAAGCTGTGGTTTCAGAAACCCTGTGGTATTGCCTGCATTTGTGTAGCACGTTGTCAGGAAGCAATGTCGGGATCTGGAGATCATGATGATGAGAGCTACGTTGTGAAGCTGCGAGGTTTGCCGTGGTCAACCACGGTGGATGAGATCCTGAAATTCTTCAGTAAGTATGAAGATTCTTCTTTTTGCAGTAAAGGAAGTGAAGCTTAAGTGGAGTGAGCTTTTTCTTAAAATCCAGTTTTAATGGAAGCACGATTTTTTAGTACTTGTTAATGAATTTGTTTTGAAGGAAAGAAATATTGTGAACTGCCATGAATGACAGTTAGGAATAACTGAGCAAGTTGTTTGTATTTTTATCATCTTCCTCTTATAGCACAGCTTGTATTTTATTAGGAGGGAAGTATTGTACAATATTGTAATAGAGTTTGGGGTACCCATGAAACTAGTTAGGTGGATTAAAATGTGTTTAAACGAAATGTATAGTAAAGTCTGTGTAGGTAAACATTTGCCTGATAAATTTCCTATCCAGAATGGTCTAAAACAAGGAGATGCTTTATCGCCACTCCTTTTCAACTTTGCCTTAGAATATGCAATTAGGAAGGTCCAGGGAAACCAGGTGGGACTGAAATTAAACGGGACACATCAGCTGTTGGTCTATGCCGATGATGTGAATCTACTGGGTGATAATATAGGTATCATAAAGAAAAACAGACAAACTTTAATTGACACAAGTAAAGAGGTTGGTCTAGAAGTAAACACAGAGAAAACTAAGTATATGTTACTGTCTTGTCACCAGAATGCAGGGCAAAATCATGACATAAAGATAAGAAACAGATGTTTTGAAAATGTGGCACAGTTCAGATATTTGGGAACAATGATAACAGATTGAAACCTGAGTCAGGAGGGAATTAAGAGGTGATTGAACCCAGGTAATACTTGCTATCATTCAGTCCAGAACCTTTTGTCTTCTCGTCTGTTGTCCAAAAACATAAAAATTAGAATATACAAAACTATAATTTTGCCTGTGGTTCTGTATGGGTGTGAAACTTGGTCTCTGACATTAAGGGGGGAACATAGACTGAGGGTGTTTGAGAACAGGGTGTTGAGGAGAATATTGGGACCGAAGAGAGATGAAGTGACAGGAGGTTGGAGAAAACTGCATAATGAGGAGCTTCATAACTTGTACCCTTCTCCAAGTATAATTAGAATGATCAAGTCAAGGAGGATGAGGTGGTCAGGTCATGTAGCACGAATGGGGGAGACGAATGCGTATAGGATATTGGTGGGAAAGCCAGAAGGAAGGAGACCACAGGGAAGACCAAGGCGTAGGTGGGTGGACAGTATTAGAATGGATCTTAGAGAGATAGGATGGGATGGTATGTATTGGATAGATCTGGCTCAGGGTAGGGATCAGTGGAAGGGCTCTTGTGAACATGGTGATGAACCTTCGGGTTCCATAAGATGCTGGAAAATTCTTGAGTAGCTGCAGAATTGGCACCTCCAGAAGGGCTCAGCTCCATGAGTAAACAAGTTCTTGCATCATTGTCTTTTTGTCTAGCCCTTTTATGTGGCCAGAGTGTTGTAGCAATTTAATACTTTTATCACATTTTGGATTCATATGCTTCGGAAGCAGGCACTGTACATGTTTGTTGGTTTGAAGTTTATAAGTTGTTATGTTGGAATCTGTTAATTTGGTAACATTTAGATTTGTTTTGTATTCTGGGATCTTTTTATTGATTTTTCCTTCTGAATATATATTTAGGTTATTCAAAAATGATTGACACTCCCTCCATAACTCTGGAAAAGTAGCAATGTGAAATGCGCGCCGATGTATGTGGGAAGACATACTATAGTGCTGCCTATGGCCATGAGATGACGTTACTGCGCACAGGTCGAACACTGCTGTGTCATTTGTGGCGGTGTGCAGGTGCAGTCGTGGACAACGCTCAAACAACATGGAAGCAGAGAATCATGGGCAACGGTAGACTGTGTGGTTTCTCTTGAGGGAAGGAGTGGCTGTTTCACACATTCACCCGAGGTTAGCGGCCATATGTGGGGAAGCAGCACCAAGTCCCAGCACGCTGGGAACTCTCCTCCCAAGAAGTCACGACCTGGACTGTTTGTCCGGAAGCAAATGGCAACTGTGTTCTGGGATCAGGAGAGGATCCTTCTTTCGGATCGGCTGCCCCCAAATACAACCATCAACAGTGACCAGTACTGCAATTCATTGCGCCAACTCCGCCACGGAAAATGGGGGTGTGGCATTCTTCTCCAACATGACAATGCGCGGCCACATGGCAGTCGGCCGACCATTGCCACCCCAGGTGCTCTAGGGTACACCGTGCTGCCTCATCCGCCATACTCGCCTGATCTTGCCCTTAGCGATTACGTTCTGTTCGATGCAGTGAAAGACGTCATGCGGGGTAAGACGTTCACCTCCAACGACAGGCTTTTGACCAGCAGTGGCACCGGGATACCCTCAAAGAATAGTTTGCTGTGCAAATACGGAAACTGCCGGAACAATGGCAAAGGTGCATAGACATTGGCGGGGAATACCTCTAATATAATCTGTATGTATTTTGTTCCAATAAATGGTTACTGTGAGGAAAAAACATTTAGTGTCAATCATTTTTGAACACCCCTAGTAAAATCATGTTTCCCATTTTTTTAGTGGAGTTAATGTTCTGTGTACTGTGTGTAGAGTGTTTGTTCATAAATGTGTTGTGTACACAGATGACTGTAGCATAAAGGATGGGAAACTTGGTATTCATATGACCATGTCGAGAGAGGGGCGGCCAAGTGGCGAGGCATACGTGGAGATGGAGACAGATGAAGATATTGAGAAAGCTTGCAAGAAAGACAGAGATCATATGGGACATAGGTACATTGAAGGTATGTGTATTTAGTTCTCATGTTATACGTGATTTGGAAGGTTTGCTGCGATTGTATGCAGAGAATCTCGGCTGTGTGAAGATTGAGTAGCCTGAGTTTTGAGGACTGTCTCCATCGTCATGAGTAGAGATGAGTGGTGCAGACACATAGAAGTGCCTGGAGCCTGCTCCATTGTTGGGGCAGCATGTTTTCTGGAGAAGGATCATTTCCCTAAACTGCATTAGCCTTTCGGTGTTTGTAATGTTAATGTAACATATTTCTGTGAGATATAAATTTAATGTTTTAAGTGGATGGACAGCTCACTGTTAATGGGAGAGGCCTTAATTGGGTTCAGTCAAGTAAAGTGAGTGTGTGCAACTTGTTACTTCTGTTCCAGTGTTCAAGGCCAAAAGATCTGAAATGGAATGGGTTGTGAAACGCAGTGGCTTGAACTTGGAAAATGCAATGGATGATGGTTGTGTGAGACTCCGGGGGCTACCGTTTGGTTGCTCAAAAGAAGAAATAGCACAATTCTTTTCAGGTACGTTAGATTTGTATTTTGCTTGTCTATGGATGGTATGCTTTCTTGAATGCCAAATTGTTATTTTTGAATTATCACCAATCAGTAGATGAATTCCTTTGTCAAAATATGCTGTATAAAATCATAAAAATGTGTCAAGTCAGTTATTGGTGATATTGAAGTAAGGGTTGATTCACAGTTAAATTGGTAGAGCAGTATTAATTTGTTCTGCACAGTGAAAGTTTAGCTTTTTAAAATTTGCAGATTCCAGATGTGTTGCAACTGTGCCATTATTTGTTGTTTGGGACAGACGTTTGTTATGATAACTGTGATTAAGAAATAGTGTGATGGTGACAATTTTGAAGTAGGAACTTGCCAAATTAGAGTCCAGCCACTTGAAACAGGTGCATCAAAATTCAAGTGTTAATCTCGCCCTCTTTGTGCATTGTTTTGATCAGTGGTGAGCCATGTGTTGCCCTTGGGCAATTTTCAAAGTGAAAAACTAAAAACATTAATATTTATGAATGGTTAGATATTTTTGATCTGTAGAATTAACCCATTGTGGGCTAATAACCGGGCTGACTTGTAGGCCAAGAAGCTTGTCATGAGCCCGATTCAGCTTTGTATAGGCAAGTTTGGGATTCCAACACAATGAAATACAGGTGTCACATCATAAGAAATATGGTTTTCCTGTTGTATGTGATTTTTGTGTCTTTCTTAAGGAAAAGAAAATCAAAGTTAATCAGAGTTTATATTTTTGAATGAAAATTGAAGGTAGTGGAGTAACAGATTTTGAGTTACTCAGTCACCTCTGGGGATAATTGATGTGTAATTTTGAAATACCCGTTAATAATAATTTTTGTTGCTTGAAAATATAACAGTTTTTAATTTTCTGAAATACAATTCTGACATCAGTGTGAAGCCTCAGAAAAGGACTTGGCTTATGAAGTTTGCCCTTGTGCAGTGAAGGATTCCCACTGTCGGGTTGATCTTGTAACTGATTTGGTGAGAAAATTGTTGTATTCCTTTTATTAGCTGCGTGCTGTCGGTTTCTCTTTGGGGTATTTATCATCCCAAACTTTTTGAGGGCTGTCCTTTTTCTTCTATTACCACACATTTGCTTGTGTGTGTGTGTGTGTACCTGGCTCACAACATAAGTCTGTGCCGTATCCCATGCAGTTGGACCTGGCCTGCTCACTGTGGGTCATCAGGTTCATTTCCCAGGTGACTTCAGAGGAGGTTTGTGGTGATTGAGCCTTTTTTTTATTATTTTTAATTTAAACTCACATTAAATTTTCTCTTGCTAATCACCACTCCATTGCTCCATCCTCATCTGTCATTGTCTCCTGAGCTGTTTAACAGCCCTCCCTGACTGGGCAGTGCATTATCATGTCCATGGTCTTTAAATTGAGGGCTTAACTTCTGATGCAGAAGTTGGCTGGTTGCACACTGAAGAAATAATGTTTTGTGTATAAGACGATGAAGTCTTTGCAGGTGTTTTGTCTAAAAATTGTCACCATCAGCATGTTTCTTTTTCCACATCCTTGACTCCTCTTGAGTACAAGAGTTTTAATTTGGTGATGCTGAGAGTGTATTGCAAAGATTTCACTTTACACTGATGATACAAACCAGGAAATTGCAGTTGGTCAGCAGCAGCATTTTGGAGTAACAGTCCCAGTAACTGTGAAGTGCACTGATGTATTGAGAAGTGCACTGATGTATTGAGAAGTCTAGTTTAAAACATCAGATATGTGGGAAGTGGTCAATTATGCAAAAAGTAGTTCATTACCAATTTAAGTGTACAAGATTTGTGTGTTTTTGGATACAGTTTCATTTAGAATACTGCCAGTTCTCATTTTAATGCATTTGGGCACAGCCAGCAAGAAGCAGGTGACTTGGATCACTCAGCAGAATGAATGTTAAATGCTAAAACAAAGTAAGCTGCTGTATAGAAAGGATATTGAAAACAAAATCAAGCAGAGAATTTATAAATAAAAATTTAAAATTTATGGCAAGTTTTACAGCTGTGTAGACATTTTGTATGAATAAATGTCTGAGTTGTTTAATTTAGGAATTTAACCTTCTGGTAGGGTGTGGGCCTGCAGCACCCCCTCCCCCCACTGTGGACATCCATTCTTGTAGGAAAGGAGTTCATCATGTATGTTGTTATTATTTATTTGGCATTTTGCACTTAAGAAAATGATGTGGCACATACAGACTGCATTTGTGTGGTCCTGGTTTTGTATCCCAGAGGTTCACTTGCACTTATGGAAGGACCCCTTCCTTCCGAATTCAAGGTGTGATGATTGTGCGTATGCATATGTAGGCGCAGAACTTTGCAACACACTCTGAGCACCTGATCTGCTCATCAGAACTGAAATACTTGTTTCAGCTTTTATCAATCTGATTTTGTTGTGTGTTGATTGTGGGCATATGTTTATTGGTTGGGTAGGGTTGGAGATAGTACCCAACGGGATTTCCCTACCGACTGACTACACGGGAAGGAGTACGGGGGAGGCTTACGTTCAGTTTGTAAACAAAGAAGTGGCAGAGAAAGCTCTGCAGAAACACAAGGATAAAATAGGACACAGGTGGGGAAGGCTGATAATGGAAGGGAGGGACTGGGTGGGGTGAAACCCAAACCTCCTGTTCTACTGTGGTATACCTCACTCTGTCTGTCTCTCATAATGCATCAACTGGGTGTACATTGTAGAGTAAATTGGTTTCTGCCATGGGCAGGGGGTGTTCACAAGGTAGGTGCTAAAATGCTCTTCATAATAAATACTGTATTTAATACTTGTACTGCCATCACAAGGTAAGAAGGGATTTTTATTAAAAGTAATATTCTAGTAATTTAGTTTGGTATTTTCACATGTGATGTGTTGGTTGTGAAGACCTGGAGTTTTCTGTAACCGTTTCCTGGGTACTTCGATCAAAAATATGTAATGGTTCTATTCATACATGAAAACTAATGAACCCTCAACATGACTGCTGCAGTGCAGCTGTCTTGAGATTTGTGCATATTGGACCCATGCAAAGTGCAGTGTATTGAGCAGTGAATAATCTTAGCTTTTACCAGAATTGTGGCCATGTAATGATGAAATGTAATTAGGAAGTGTTCTGCTTTCTTTTCAAATCTCGGTAGTGGGTTTCCTAAGTCTTTAGCTGCAGCTGAACTAGAGGCCCAGTTACCATTAAACTGTAGTGTGGTATTGGCTTTGTTACCTACCTGTAATGATTTATTATATGTTTCATAATAAATAATGGTTGAAATTTGTAGGTCTAAATCAAGAAATGACTCCAAAAGATGCAGCAAAAGAGTTAAGTCTTTTCTGTCCCATTTTGTATGGCTTTTGACATTGAATTTTTTCTGTACTGGTCACTGTTAGAAGCAACTGATGCCAGCTTTGCAGATTTACCACCATGTTACAATTGTATGACAAATCATAGTTTTGCTCCTTGTATCAACATTTCTTATTGTAGTTATGTATAGGAACAACAGATGGCAGGAATTTGTATTTTTCCATACATTTTTACATAAACGTATTTGTTGGTGGTAGGAATCAGTTAGAGAGAGACTGGAAAGGCATTTCTGTTGTATTTGCTGGCCTCTGTCATGTGTCATGATAATCCCCTTTAACAGTGAAGCAGGTCAGTGTGTGAAACCCAGAGATATCTTACTCTGCTGCAGTGCAGAAGTTCTGACCAGCTTCCCCAAAAATAAAATACAGTGGCACCCCCAGTTTTAATTTTCTTCACTCATTTCTCTACATGTAAGATTTTCCAATGTTCAGTGTTCCATTCTATGGCTCACCAGAGAAACCCTGAAGGGGATTTCACTGTATCTTAACTAATTAACTCATTACACTGACAACAGGAAATTAAATATTTGGTTCAAACAGCCCACTTCAGGCATCAAAATTGTATTGGTTTTAATATAATGCTCAGGCTTTGAGTACTCAATGAACCACCATTCTAGATCACATTGTTTATTATATTTTAATCCTTTCCTATCATCTGACATAATATTCTTATACAGGTCCACTGTCAGAAGCCCCCAGCCACAGAAATTACTGTTCTGTGTCATGTTGTGGCCTTGTGCTGTACAGACAGGAGATGGCAGATTTTTGCCCAGGCTGGCTGTGGCTGGTGGGAGGAAGGATGGGAATGGGTTACGTGAATGTGACATATCACAAACTGAAATGCTTGGATCATATAATGTTTAATAATGCTGAATCAAGTGCGGAAGTTGTGGAGCTTTGCATGAGGTGTGAGGATGACTGCAGATATGAAGTTCTTGTGTCAGGGTATTCACGTGGGGTGAGACTGAGTCTCTTGGTACTCTGACCTAAGATGAGTCTATTGTACCAACAGCCTTTGATGATGAGTAGCATTGGTGGAATGATAACTGGCATGGGAAACTAGGGCTGTGCCACCACTGTCTACCATGAATACCACCAACATATATCTGTTTTCATATAATCGAGAACCTCTGCATGATTTTTGGTATGCCAGTTGTAACTTTTTCTCTCATAAACACAACTTCAGCAGTTGATACAGTGTCATGTAAGTAAGGTATTTGTGAAAAGGGAGAGCAGTTTCATTGTGCCATGTGGAGAATTGAAGTATGAGCATGGTGGCAGTTCAAGGTTGAGTAAAGGCCACGTTCATTCGAACAGCTGTTTGGTTATTTAGTTTAATGCTCGTGAATTATAGGCATGTGCACAGCCAATGAGTGCACAAGAGGTTTGAAAGTGTGAATGTCTTTAACGTTAAAGGTGTTTTGATTTTTGAGGAGTTTGGTTGAAATATTGGTTATGGATTTAGTTCTTGAAGATTGCTATTTGTGGCTGGAAATTCAGTAATATTCAGGGCTTGAAGAATTTTGTTATGTTGTTGGTAACTGAAGTATGATTAACCTTCAAAGCATGGGAATTGGAACAGAACTGTTGTTATATTGTGGCCTTTGAGTTAATAGGAATGGGATATTTTTCTGGTGTACACTAGAAACCTGTCACTATCTTGAGAAGTTTTTTCTTGACATTCTTCACTGGTCTCATGTTGCTGCCTTCATATGAGGGGCTTGGGTTCTTGAACCAGGGGGCCATTCAGCTTTTTGCCTGAATCATTGATGCTGCCCTCGGCTGCATTGCAACACTTAGCCAGGGTGTCCAGGTGTGCAGTGTGGAGCTGTTAAAGTAACCACAGTAACTTGGAGAAAGTAAAAAGTGTTTATGATATTTTGCTGTGTATAGACTGTTATAAAAAAAATCAGCTGAAAGCTGCTTTGGAGAAGGTGACATTGGCACCAGTGCATTGCCAGACTCGGATACAGGAATGAATGTATGGCCCCAGTTGCTGTCTTGTTAGAGTCCTAGAATGACTGTTTGAAGTGTATGTAGCCTCCTGTCCTTAGAAGGTTAATGAATACTCTCGACTGGTGTAGATCTCATGAGTAAACATGAAAATGGCCTATCTGTGTTTTTTGAATCCAGGCGCAGATCACACTTTGCTGGTATGATACATAGTGAATGCTTTACATTCTTCTGATACCAGACTATGTAGCGTAATTGTTTGTAGAGTAGAGTGAAGCCATTTCAGCACAATCTAAGATATTAGTAGGAGATATTTGCCAGCAGAAGGATAATGGGGTGAGAGAAGCCCACAGGCATTACTGAAATGGTAATAGACACTTCATGACTTTGTAGAATGGACACAGTGAAGATACTGCAGGCCTTGGAGTGTCACTGAAAGAAAGGATTTATTAGTCAGTGGCTCTGAACTGAGGCCACAGAAAGAAGCAAGTGGTCAGCAGTGCAAAGAGCTTCACTAGTGAATGTTGTCGCGACTCCATCCAATGTGGGAATTTTGGTGTGTCACTGTTAGTGACTTCAGACCATTATGTCGCCATCAGAAAGTTATGGGTTTTTTTTTCCAGTGTTTATTCATACACTGGTAGCAGATATCATGCTTACACAGGATTGTTTCCCATAAGGTTGCCTACTTGGGGTGTAATGTACTCTGTTTGCTAAAGTGAATGGACTTCACTGGCATTAATATCAGTAAATGTCTAGATGATTGGAGGGTGGGGTCAGTCTGTGGCATGTCTTTCCGTGGCCTCAGTATAGTTTTATAGTAACTAAGATTGTCAGCAGTTAATTGTAATTAAGATCAGTGTTGTCCAGTTTGGAGCATGTCTTACATTCATGTGTGCCATGGTTTTTACAGACTGACAGCTCAATGTGGACCTTGAGCCAAGATAGCTGTAGTGACTGGCTGGGGTTTGATTCCTAGCAGGAGCAGGGATATTCCTGTTTTTGTCACAGTTGTGTCCAGTTATGGCAGGAGGAACTGTAGTGTAAAGAAGCTCTATCTAGTGCCAAGGTTATGAACGCATGGCGGTATACCTCCTCTCACCTGCACAACTTGAGCATCATGTGGGAGTAGGGGATTTTAAATTCCCCAATTCTAAAGGGGCAGTGGCCACATCATAATACTGGACCAACAGTATTAATAATGTTGAAAAGAAAAACAAGTCTCAGTCACCTGGACTTTGTTTGTGATGGGTTGCTTCATGTTACTGAGAACCATAACTTGGACAGCACTGAGAAATAGAATGTGCTTCTCTGGCTTCATGTAGCAGTCATTTAGTCTTTTAAGAGGAATGAGATTATATTGATATTTCATAATTTTATTACCCGTCATAATTGCGATACTGCGTTGTGCCTGATACAGGTACATCGAAATATTCCGTAGCAGTTTGTCAGAGGTTCGAGCTGCTATTGGACCCAAGATGCGCCCTATGGGTCCAGGGGGCTTCAATCAAAGGCCAGCTCCATATGACCGAGGTGACAGATTTGGTGGAATGAACCGTTACAACAATATAGGCAGAGGGTCTCGGAGCTTCAAGGGTGAGTCTGCGCGCACACATGCACCTGCTTGCATATGGCTGACCAGTTTGGTTACTCTTGTTTGTGTATTCACATTCCTCAGAGCAGTGTACAACATGTCTGAAAATGACATGAACCGAGTGTTCTGTTTGTTAAATACATCAGGTTGAATGTTTATGTTCATTTTGAAAAATGCATTTGTCATCAGCTGCTGTGATACATGAGGGATGAAAGAGGATGATGATTTTGAAAGGGGTAAGAGTTACAAAGGAAAAATAATTTATTAAGGAGCAAAGTTCTGAAATGTTTATTAAGTAAAACATAATTATTTTATTATTACACATTTAAATGCTGTTTGTTTTGTCCAGGCACAAGCACTGTTAATACGAGTATGTGAAGACAGTGTCATTTTTGCGATTTTAGGTTTTGGAGATTTTGATGATGGGCCAAGTCCCTGGGGATTCAACTCTTCATGGGGCAGTGGTGGTGGGCCCGGTCTGCGTGGCAGCCTAGGTGGCCGTGGAGGTGGTCTCAACATGAACATGAACATGAACTCCGGTGGATTTGGTGGACTAGGAATGGGCCGTGGTGGTCGTGCTGGAGGTGGTGGCGGCGGTAGTTGGAGCAGCAATGGGGCTGGACTGGGTGGAGGTGGTGGAGGGGGTGGACATTGCATCCACATGAGGGGATTGCCCTTCAGAGCAACTCAGGCAGACATTGCTGATGTAAGCAAAGTCCCACTTCATGCATTTTGAGATTTCCCGTACCTACATGACATGTTTGTTGCATGAGGGTTGTCATGTGTTGAATTTTCTGAGGTAATTGATGGATTTTCTTGAGACTTGTTACAAAAATGATGCCAGTATAGCTCATGCACTTTTGTACCTTGCTGTTTATAATACCAGTGTGGTGATCATGCAGGCTTATGAGGTGTGAACTGTACTAGCACTGCTTAATATATGGTCCTGAAATTTGTGTGGTATTAAGGGTAAACAATTCTGCGATGTTGTGCCATGTGGTCTTGTAGAACGTGTTACCTCCATTTTCTGGGTGGAGAGGCCATGTTGGGTGTCAACATCATCATCATTCAGAGGGTATGACATCAGACGATGTGGATCGTCATGTCATCATAAAAAACTTGAATTCCATTTTTAGCATATTATGGGACCCAAAATTGCCATATTGGAATTTCATAGAGTGCACAGGACTTTTCTTCTGTAAGGTTGCTAGTCGAGGTATGGTTGGTGTACCCTCAGAGATGTTTTGGACAAAGCGTATGTTTCTTTGAAATATTTATACCTGTCAGTATGTCAGAAGACTATAATGTTCATACTCACTGCCACGGAACTAAATCTCATACTGTAAAATGCTGGTTTTCTTGCAATTTGGCCTGGAGGCAGAGATGGGCGTGGGTATCAGCTAGCTGGTCATCTGTGTTCATACAGTGGAGATTGTGTTTGTGTAGTATGTTATGTAATGTACTTCGATTGTCCTTTCACAGTTCTTCAGGCCAGCTGTGCCAATAAACATACGTCTCCTGTACGATAACAGTGGGCGTGCATCTGGAGAAGCAGATGTGGAGTTCGCAACTCACGAAGAAGCAGTGAAGGGCATGTCCAAAGTAAGTGGGGTGCTTCAGCTTACTCTCACATTCAGTCATTCCATTTTGTTCACTCAGAATATTTACACAAAGAATTCAGAAGTTTGAGGATAAATTCACTAGAATTTTCATAAAATACAAAGTGGTATCGGAAAGTTCCCCGACTGTTGTTATTGTAACTGCCTTGGTGAAAGAAGATGAGAGGGGTGGCCAAGGTCACACCTCTGCAAGCCTGTTGCATTAGTCTGCCATGTGACACCATGCTGTGAACATGCATTCTTTTTACATGAATACTTTTTTGACTTAGTGTTTTATTTTATCAGTGATGGATGGCAAAATTGAACAATATACTTCCATAATGTTTGCATGAAGCTCAGTAAATCTGCTGCCAAAACCCCTGAAATGCTTCATCAGGCTTTTGGAGAAAATTCTTCAAGCTGGACAGCAGTTTTTGAATGGCATTCAGTTTCAAGGCTGGTCAAGTGTCGGTTGAAGAATACAAATCTTCAGGGCGAACAAGCACCAACAGAATGACAGAAAATATTGAAAAGAGAATTTGAGAACTTGTCAACGAAGACCATTGCCAAACAGGCCATAAACTTGCAGACAGTATCGGGATCAGTTATGGAGTTTGCCAGATCTTAAATTGAAAATGAAATGGAAGGGACAATGTTTTGAAACAGTGTCTGACATCCAAACAAAATTGCAAGTAGTACTCGACAGCATTAAGGAAAATGACTTTCACAGTGCTTTTGAATCATGGGAAAAACAATGGAATCCTGTATACATTCCCAAGGAGACTGTTTTGAACGAGATGGCAGCCAGTCATAAATCATGAAGCCAACTTTTGTATTGCATAGCTGTTTAGGTCTCCAGTTCTCTGGCTCAGGCATTACTGGTTATTTATTTAATTTTTGAGAAATACCGATATACATTAGATGTGTAGGATGTAAGCTAAATATTGGTAAAATTTCTTTCTTTCACAGAATTGGAAATATGTGTGTGTGTGTGTGTGTGTATATATATATTGTGACATGTTGCGCAAAGGAGAACCCCCCCCACCAGCAGTGACGCGGCGGGGGAGTCAGCGCTCCCCTCCCCCTCCTCCGCACGGTAACGTAACGGTGACGCAACAGGATTGTTACGGTAGTAACAGCGGTTACTACCGCTAGCGTTACTAGCAACACAGCGCCAGGCAACAAGGGTGCCTATTACGTGGCCGTTTTCCGTATTGTCCGATCAAGGCTACATAAGGAGCAGCGAAGGCTATTCACAGTCAGTTGTACTGAGTCAGTCAGTGAGTCCTGGAGCTACCGTCGAGTTAGCCAGCAACTAGTCAGTTGTATTCTGGCATTTGGAGTGTACTAATTGTGATACTGCAGATAGCAGTAACCGTAAATCTGTAATTTGGGCGATTGTAAGTGCGAATGTGAAATAAATTCGCTATACAAAATACGGCGTGAAGTTATTTGTCGCGATATATGCCCGATACGCGACAATATATATATATATATAGTTAGTAGATGGGTGTCTGAATTGTAGTTACTGTTGTATTTTTGAAATCTTACGTACAACATTACCAACCAGGGTTGCAGTTCTGCAAGGAGTAGTGTTTAATTAATTAATTTCTTGGGCTGGGGTGAGTCTGAGTCACTTGGTATGTCAGCCACTATTTAGGCTATTGTACTAGCCTTGGATTATCATATTATTATTAATATTATTATGGAACAGTCAGTGGAGTGAGAATTGGCAGGGGAAACTAAAGTACTTAGGGAAAACCTGCTCTAGTGCCACTTTGTCCAGCACAAATCCCACATGACCTGACCTGGGATTGAACCCGCACACTGCAGTTAGAAGCCGGCAACTAACCACCTGAGCTATGTAGGTCATGGTCAGGAGTAGGGTTTTTCCCCTGCCCTCCATCATGCTGAGACTCACTAATGTCCTGTGCAGTGAACGCTGGTGACAGAACAGACAGAGGCTGACGTGAATGCCCACCATCATCTGGATCCTAGTCGTGGCATGGTGTGGTAGGTTGTCTCTGTCTACGTACAAGACTTGCTTGGAAATTCATATAGCAACTCCTGAAATGTTTTTTGTTCCAGGATAAGGGACATATGCAACATCGGTACATTGAACTGTTCCTGAACTCCACACCCGGCAACTCTGGAGGTGGTGGTGGTTTGGGCGGTGGCAACTTTGGCAGTATGGGTGGTGGTGGATTTGGGGGTGGTTCTGGAGGTGGAGGCTTTGGAGGTGGTAAGGAATCAGTCTTGGTTTATTTATTTGAGAGGTCAGTTGTTTCATTTGTACAGCTGCAGCTGGAGCCTCGTGAATGGCTCTGTTTGGCTGACCTATTCATAGTAAAGAAACATCGTAAACGTATGTGTGTGTGTTCTGAGACTTCATGGTGTCCGCATTTTCTATCTTGCTTTCAGGTTTGGGAAACAGTTTCCAGAGAGGATGTTCAAGCAACTTGGGGAGTGGAATGGGGTTCAGTAGCCAGATGGGCGGTAGCAATTACAGCTCATTCTAAAATTTCAGATCAACCCACCTGTTTTCACATAATATTATTGCATAGGGCGTTGAGAGGGAATCATGTGAATAGTTTGAAGAACACTTCATGGGGTTCCCCTTTCATCTGTTCATACATGCGCAGCGCTATTATATGCTCAGCTTGCAGTATACCGACTTCTTCCTCTCTCTAGTACCCACAAGTGGCAGGGTCATTTTCATTACGCATATGATATGCAGCATTTGCAAGCCCTTTACTAAAACTGATTCACTAATGACTCTTAAATATCACTGATATATTGATGGACTTTTACTCTTTGTGTTTAGTTAAAATACTGGCCTATATATGTTTGAACATTTATCGTTTTGTTCTTAAAATAAGATATTTTTTGGTTTTGTCTTAATTGTGTCATCTGGAAGTTATTCTTCATGTAATGTAGATGAACTGTACACAGAAGAATGTTACTTAAGAATTGTAAGTCTGTATAAGCTCACTTTCGTAATTGCCAACAATCCTGCAGGTACAATACATTAAGAGGCATTTTCTTTGTAGTTCTGATTTGCTGTAGAAATTTCACTTGCAGTGGTGTTTCATTGTACCAGTTTGACAGCTTGCATACAAGATTTCTGTTGTAATCCATGTGTAGTAGTTTTTGTGCATTAAAGGCTTATTTAATAATTCATAAAAATTATTTGTCGTTATGGGATGTGAAAAGTTGCATACAAAATTATCTGTGCATGTATTTTTTGGTAATATTGGACTTTTTTGTTCTGAACTTGCAGTTAAGTGGATGATAAATAATTTTATTTTCTTAGGGGTTGGGAAGTAAATATATCTGCTATGTGCCACGTAAACATTTAGTTCATACACATGAAAGAGTGGCTGCTGGGCACCTGTACATGCGTTCGTCCTTCAGAACTATGTAACGTGGCTAATTTGCGGAATTTATATAATGTAAATTGGGGCTCACAAGTATTGTAGTCTCCATAATTATATGTCCCTTCTCCAGAGTTGTATGTTATTAACTGTACCTTGCTTTCAGCACAGTATGGAATACAGATGTGGTAAAGTGTCCACATTTTGCACAGGACAGAGACTTGAGACAATTTCCATGAAGTAATGTTTTGGTGTTGTAACATTATGTAAAAGTGTGTGAATTTTATGTATTTGTTTCAGCATCTAAATGGTGATCTACGTTTAAGGATGGCTTCTGTTGGATTTAAGTTGAACAAAGTTCAGAGATTTATCAGGAAAGACACACTAGTGTATGTACTCTTACACTCATTGTGCCCAGGACAATCACAAAGTTCTGTAGCTGTGTTTTAGTACGTCGCACAAAATTGTAATAATTTGTGTTTAATGGGATGTAAAGATATTAATGGTATGAAGTTGTATGATGTTTAGAGACTTAATTTGTTTTTATTTCATATTTGTCTGTATAGAAATGTGTGTAATTCTGCAGTACAGCTTTCATCTAAATTAAATATTTTGTAATTTTTACATACTTTTTTGTTTAATGAAATAGTAAAGTGGAAGTTGCAGGTTCTGAACTGATATGTAAATTGAGAATGTGCAGTTCCTCTTATATTACTGTGCTGACTTAGATATTCTGTGCAGCTGTTATCTCAAGAAAATATGGCCAAGTAAAAAACATTCTTGGATGTACTGTTCAGTAGCCCTAGTATATTAATTTCATCCAAGATTTGTTTCATCTCCATAGTGCTCAGAATGAAGATACATTGTTTTTTGACTACATTTTGAAATGATGTGTAAGAGACGCCATTAAGCAGGAACATAAAACTGTTGCTGCATTCTGCAGTTATCTAAAGGTAGAAAAGTGAATGTGGGAAACAGTGTATGACTGAAGAGGCAACAGCAGTGAACATGATGTTGTATAACAGGCAGCTGCTGTGATCACACCCTCCTCACATGAAGTGAGTTTTCCATGCACATTGGGAAGTTCTGACATGTCCAGTTCTGTAGTTGCCTGCCAGTGTGTTCTAACCCAGGCTTAAAGAGCATAGCATTTTGAAGATACTTGCTGTCTTTTGAGATATTTTTCCTGTAGTCCAGTAGAAGAAGATTATGTATTCTGCAGGAGAGGAACTGCCTCCACTTCCAGGGTCAAGGAGTAGAAAAATCAGACAAATGACCAGTAGGAAGAGCAGAATACAAGGCATCACATCTGAGAAGACAATAGGCTTCAAAGTCAATCCTGTGAGAACCTCAGAGCCAGTTTCCTTTTCTGCCATGTTTTTATTACTTCTAATGCCAGACATAATAGATGGCACAGCTTCAGCTTTCAATCTAACTAAAGGTTGGCTGTCCTGACCGAAGTTTCTCGCTGTCTTCATCAACCCTGGCAGTTGAGATAGTATCTCAGAATGGGACATGGAGTACATAGGGTTTGCAGAGGCAAGAGATTACACACAAGCAGTAGTAACGCGTAAGGAAGCTGTACCTTTTGTATGTTGAAAATCTAAAGACTCCCTGGAGAAGGTCAACAAGTCGAGACTTATGGGGAGGAGTTCTTTGCTCATTGTACCCATGAATTTACCATATTACTCTGTTTAACGCGGGGTTATATTGCTGGGCAGGGTGGCTCAGACAGTAATATGTGTTGTGACATTATGGAAGGGTTTAGTTTGAATCTCAGCTAGGACACACATCATCACTGAGGTTTATCGTTATTTTCCTTGGTCCCTGTTGACAAATGCTGTGCTGGTACCACAGAATTAAGCTGTGCCTGCTTCCTTCCAGATCCTTTGTAATTCATGAGTAATCCTACCATTTGAAGCTGTATAGTGAGGACTGCAGAGGACATCGTTAAAATGAACAGTAATGTGTATACAAGGAATTAATTTCCTGTTGTTTTTCCATGTGTTTCTCATTTACTCATAGGTCTCTGTTACTGAGGGTCTAGTCATTGTTTTAATGTAGAATCAGAAATAATACCAAACACAGTTGGTACCATGGATATGAAATTGCAAAAAATACTATATTGAAAGCTAGTAACTTCAGAAGATAATGCTTCTATGTATGCCAGCAAACAAACCCTTGTCAATCAGAACGTTAAAGTAGCTGTCATTTTCCATCCTTGTTTAGTTAACCACTATTTCATTTCGTGTAACTGCCGCTTTTCTCGTTATAAGGCCTTTGATTTGTTTTCATGGTTTGTGATTACTGCAGCCACTTTCAGGGATGTAATGCTTCTGTTTCAATGGGGTTGTATGCTGGACAAGGATTTTCAAACGAGCTGATAATTCAGAACAGTTTATCTCTCACCTAATGCCAAAGAAATGTAAGGTTATGTACTAGGTTACATAAGCATTACATCTAGAGAGGATAGCAAGTTCCAGTGTTCATTGAAGAGAGTGAACACAAGTTCCGCTTTTTCAGTATGAAAATATGCAGCTTAACCTTTAAACGCCAGACTTCTGAAATAGTGGTAAGCTTGAGCTGGCCGGAGTTTATTTAAATGCCCGCTGCTACTCTGCGTTTAAATGTCTGTTTCTGTTAGTGCGCCTAAACAATTTTAAGCATTGTGTTTAAAAATGCTGTATCTGACTCAATTTTTATGATAAATGGATGGAATTAATTTTGTTTGTATCAGCAAAGAACACTGTCGCATATTATAACGGAAGATTTGAAATTTTTTATACAAATTATACTCCATTTTCAATTTTTTGTCTTTTAATTTTGATGAGTACTGCAAAAATGATTTCTCAGTTCTTCACAGAGTTGTTCTGCATTACAAATTCATTTCTGTTTGTAACAGCAGTCCCTGATGTCATAAAACAGATGGAAGCAATAAAATCATTTGGTCTTCTGCTAGCACTGCTTACACTCTTAGGATTTTCGAATCTTTTGACTGAAGGTCAGAAGAATGAAAGAATGGCTATTCAAGAGAAAGCTAAAGGGGTCCCTTCTTCAGTGATAAGACATTCTGTTATAGCTGCAAAAGCTTATTGCCCTTTCTGTGGGCCTGAACAGACAGCTGCATCGTGGCTGAGATTCAGAGTGCGGTCTGTTTTCTGTGCGTGCTTAGTGAAATCGAATACTGTAGTTTTATTTCAGCCTATATATACATCAAGCAGATAACAAAAAAAAGGTATGTACATCGAATTTTACTATATAATTTTAACAGAATCTGCAATAAAAGTACTGGCTCGTGGATGAGTTTGGGCATAACTCATATGTATACTCTCTATGTTGTTCACTTAGGATCATTTTAATTTTTCTGTTAGGGCTTTACTCAAGTCTGGTAATTACTACATTTAAAAATAAATATTTAGGACTGCATTCGTACTTTGCCTGGCCACGACGACCTTACCACTGGTACAAACGGGGCACTTCGGCACCTAAAGGTTAAACTGACATTGATACTGAAATTCAGTATTAGTAAGTTGAGATTTTTCTGGAATCTGTTGCACTGTAGATCGGTGTGAGCAATATTTGAAGGGACAAAGAGACTATGCTTATTACTTTACTCGTATTTTCATTATTTTCAAGAAATTGAAATAAATTTCGGTGGATGGAGTGGATTTAGGAATGTGAAGAAGCTGTGCTTGCTTTAAACTTATACACAGCAGGTACTAAGGTCCGTGGTGTTTCACCGACCTCACTGTTTCTTTCCTCATGTTCCAAATATAGTTTCCTGTTCACAAATACCTTTCTTCTTTGTTAAAGGGATCCATGCAAAAATGGTTTTACCAAGGTGTAGAGGCGTAAGACTTGCATGATCCATGAGACAGTAACCAGTCAGAGAACTGATCTAGGAGGCGAATTATCCGAAGTGCGATAACAGTACCCATTGCCCTCGATGACTATGCCAAAATAGATGTGAAATGTGAGTACTGTGCGCGCATGGACTAAGCCACGTTTGACGCACACCGTCGTTCATGTCTTCAGGCGCTCCATGCCATTGTACGAAATCCATCACGTATATAAGTACTAATGACGTTTGACACAGGATCCATGCCAAAATCACAGGACTTACATAACCTACGGAGTTGAACAACTCACCCAAAACAAAATGGTAGTACGTGATCGTGTAATTAATTAAATGCTTCGCTTATGTTACTATGGCGGCGTTCGGAGTTTCAGAGGAAGTGGTTGAAATCATGCCAATTCAGAGTAGCTTTTGCAGTTTTTAGGCCTGCTCGCTGGCGAGAATAAAATCGAATTATTCGAAACTAAATTAATTTGTGTTTAGATTAATCATAAATGATGCCCAAGTATAGAGACATGTTTATGTAGGTTAGAATAGTTTTTTTTTAATTAATAAAACCGCGAATGAAGCTGGAATTTAGACACATGGGGGAAGCTGATGTGTATTAATATAGTAGGACCTCGGCCAGACAGGTTTTGACTTCAGCATTCAGGAGATTCATCGTATGAAAGACGTTAGTGAATAGAGAGGTAAGGACGCAAGTACTTGTTTAAGAGCTAGTGGCGTAATATAGAATTGTGACAGCATAGATGGTTACGGAGAGGTAATGTTACATAAAGACTGGGTTGTGTATTCTTGCATGCTTGAAATAAGTGCAGTTGTATGTAATAAAAGTAGGTACCAAATAATGTCTCGTTACATAACCTATAAAGAACAGATTTTTTTTTGTCGCAGGCGTTTTCACTAAATGAACTTTTATCGCAACAGTCTGACGCGCCATTCAAATTAACACAAGGGGTCGATGTATTGTGGTTCGGTAACATTCATGTTGAATTAATTGTGTATGTATATGTATACTCGTTTACCGCGATACTGTAAAGGGGGAACAGCAGGGTTTCAGAATCTGGATCTGTCTTCGCTTTCAAGTGAAAGTTTAGGGAGATAACTGCTGTGTTGGTTCATTAAACCCCAATCACTGGACTCATCCTCTAGGTTTCATTGAAATTTGTGTTAACTTTTCTGTAGATTTAATTGATGTACATGAGGCTGACATTGAACTTATAACATATAACCTTATTACATCCCACAACTTTCGTTTGCATATTTCGTGAACTACAAGGAAAGATTATTTTTGTGGAGTAATACTACCTGCACATAAGCTGATCATCTTTGTCAACAACAGCAAAAGGTATGGATTTATATGGACACAGTGGTTTTCCTTGCTTTTCCTGTTACTAATGAAATCCACATTTTACTGAAAAGTTTCTGTTGTATTTTCTATTTAAAAGATTAAGCTCAATCTATATGATGATATGGCTTCAGCCTAGAGGAAGGGAGAGAAGCATGAATTTTTCTGTCTCTACATCAACACTTTGTCCAAACTCCTTGGGTGCAGGCAGCCCCTCCTGTCTGACAGATATTGGGGTTCAGAGAGGCTGAGTGTGAAACTGACCAGTGAATCTCCATCTAGTGCCAAGGTTAAGAATGCATGGAACTACACCATGGTGTGCTGCTCAGTTAAGCACAGGGACTGCTTTTGTTGTACATAACAGTGATGTGTAATAATGTTAACACCTACATACATATTAACACATTTTTTATACCTTGTTTTTAAACTTGGGAGTGTGTATGGAAGATTGTCAGTATAATGGTTTACAGTATATACTGACATGTTTACTTATGTGTGGCCCACGTAACCTGAAGATTTTACTGCCACATTGTAATGTTATAGCTGCCCATAAGTGTTTTTGTAAAGACAAGACCCAAAACCTAATCTTTGAATTTGCCTCTAGCAAGTGAGTCCACTTGGTTAGGGTTTTGGTTTTTGCAAACCTCTACAGCTGACAATTCTTGCTGGTGGGTAACATGGCGGTGAGGTTTAATATGAGTGAGTGCCTATTCCAACCGATAAGTTTTCTGTTGGGATCAGGAAGTGTGGCAGGATGTCTTGTGTGTGGGTTACTCAGCGCTGTTAATTGTTAGCTATGAAACTAGATAGAAATAGTACTTCTCATTGAACAGATCTGATTCTTTTGTGTTAGCTTCAAACATGATGCTTGGAAGGAAGCAGAGTCTGAAGGGTGAGCCTGTGCTTGCGGACTATGGGCCAGAGGAAGCTTTGAATGAGAGTGCAGATATTGAGTGGGTGAACATGGTAATTTTATACTTATTATGTTCATGTATTAAGTGCACAGATATTGTTGGTGCTGCCTTTGTGCCCTCATGTGGAGTGCCCTGGGATTGGTCCCAAGCCTAAGTGGCAGGGAAATTTTGTCAATCAAACTTATATACGAGTATGTCAGGGTAGCAACTGAAATAAAAGATACAACCAATTATATGTAATGTGCTGATTGTGTTCATATCATAAGGTTGGAGTCATGTAGGATAGGCTGTAAGTTTGCCACGCTGTTGAGGGATATATGTAGCTATGATTGGTGTTTATCAGAATAACAATTTCTTCTCTAAGTAGAATTGCATTCATCAGAAATTTAATTTCTTGACAATAAAATAAATTTGTTACTTGTATTTGCATCCTTTTATTATTAAACATTGTGGAATATGACACATTACATTTTCACTATTTCTGAATGTTATTGACATAATAGATGAAAATTCAGTCTGTACCTCACAGGAAACACACTCCATCTCCATAACAATGACCAATCAGTTAATGTTGTTTGGTTAGAAACTCACTGTTTATTGTAAGAATCCTTAGGGAACACACAAATAAATACACCCTATGTGCAGAAGACCATGCTTTGAAAAGTTAACTAGTAGATAGGCAGTCCTGCCCTAAACATGTGATTGGCATGCAGTTGTGTAATTGAGCCTGCTTATCTATTCTGTTTTATCTGCCATTTCTGATTGGATCCACTGTAATACTGCAGCTGTGGGTGCGCCGCCTCATGAGATTCTGTGCTTTGGTGAGCCTGTTGTCTGTCAGTCTGAACACACCCAAGACATTTGAGAAGCACCCACCTTTGCAGTATGTGACATTCTGCTGTGATCTTGTTGTCACTTTCCTCTTCACTGCGGAAATGATTGCGAAGATGCATATTCGAGGGATACTGAAGGTAGCTGTGGACAGACATGCTGTTATATATTCTTTGTACTATGAACATAAAGTAAGAGCAAGTGAGGATATCAGGTATGTTGGTCGGCCCCTGTTTTGTGTGGTCAATGGCAAAAGTTTGTAGTGGTAGTTCCTACTGAAAGTTTTGAGGTGAATTTTTATTTTGGTGCAATATAAACCATACTTTACAGTGAAGCTGGTTATAGCAGTTCTCTCAAAAAAGGCTCATTGCTTAGAAAGTTACAGCATGATACAAAGCAGATTGTACCAAGATATATGCCTGTATGCAGTTTGAATTTTTTTGATATACCATTAAGTAATCTAAAATCTAAAAATACTTTGTGTTTATTGTTGCAATAGCGCATATAGTGACTAGGTTGCATGTTATACAACCAAGGAACTGTGTTCAATTCCCAGCAGGGACAAGAGATTTATTTGTCTTTGCTCCACTGCATCCAGATTGCCTTTGGGGACCACCCAGCCTCTTAATCAAGTGGGTAGGAGGATAATATTAAAATGTATCTTAAATAAGGCAGGAGGGTGTGGACTTATATGCCTCAGGACAGGGACCATTGATAGCTGTTGGTAACCTGTTGAGACTTGTGGTTTAATAAAATGCTGTTACCTACTTAGGGCTGGCTAGACATGCTGTTGCTAAGTGTGAGTCATGTGATTGACAACAGTACCAGCAGATCTTTGTTTTGCTTGCAGGGAGAAGTACCATATCTGAAGGACCACTGGTGCCAGTTTGATGCCAGCATGGTGTTCTTCTTGTGGGTGTCTGTGATTCTGCAGGTGTTTGAAATGCTGGGTATTGTGCCCAGGTTCAGTTACCTCTCCATCTTGAGGGCTCCCAGACCTCTAATCATGATCAGATTCATCAGGGTGTTCCTGAAGTTCTCAATGCCAAAATCAAGAATCAACCAGATATTCAAGTGAGTAGAACTTCGTTATGTACGCATGGGTGTGCACTCAGTGTGTACTTGTTGTGTGTGCCTGTTTCATAGCAGCTCACATTGGTTTGTGGTCCCTAGCTGTGCAGTGTAATCAAGTTACGAGCAAACATAACAGTTTTCATTGTGTCATCAGATGAAGTCTGGTTATCATGTGGGAGATGCTGTCTTGTACGTGTAGACACCAGAAATATTTTGTTGGGTGCAGGGTTCTCACAGTGATGTACAACTGGGAAGAGTATGCTATGTAGTTTGGAATGTGCCTTACTTTCACGATGCTAAGGTTGCTGCCTGCTTCAGCTGGTTTTAGCCTGGTTTACTCTTAACCATGAAGATGGAGGCAGTATGTACCTCCAAAATGTTAGGCTGTCTTTGAACTGAGTCGTGTCACAGAAGACACTACTCAGAGAAATATTTTGTTTGTGGTTTGTTTAGCGAAACTCAATAGCTCAGACCCTTTAGTGTCAGGTGATGATGGCAAGTAGTTATGACCTAATTAGAGGTGTTGTTATGGCCTTTGCCTGGAGAGAGACAAGGACAATTTTGAAGATCCTCAGTTACACTTGCGAGTCCCATAGCTGAAATTTGAATGTTGGACCTCCAGCATACAAAGCAGTAGCCCTTTCTGCTCAATGGTGACATTTGCTGTATCACGAGAGACAAATGAAACAGTAGAATTTATATATGTACTTTTTTGGTTAGATCTTGAATTTCTGATTTGAAATACTAGTTTAAATTACTAGTTCAGAGTTTCCATTAACAGATTGCTCTGAAACATTTTTTCCAGATTTCCACAATGTACAGGTAGAATTGTTCTGTTTATTGCATTGTGAGAGTTCGTGCTGTGAACTGAGACAAGTACGAAGGCAGACAGTTTTGCTGTGAAAGCTGGGTAATAAATGTTGAACTGAGATCATAGTCTTGGGATGTGATGCCTTGCACTCTGGTGCATAGGTACTAACACTCCTCTTTTGGACTAGGAACCTCACGAGACATGGTGACCTGTTCCAGTGTGGTGGGATGTCTGTTCTCTCCCTCAGAGTGTTATTGTTGCTGATGATGAGCTTCTGGTTTTTTTAGGCGTTCAAGTCAGCAGATATACAATGTCACGTTGTTCTTCCTGTTCTTCATGTCCCTATATGGGCTGCTGGGAGTGCAATTCTTTGGTGAGCTGAAGAACCACTGTGTTCTGAACAGCACAGACCCAAAGTAAGTATGGTGCTACAGTTTGTTCATGTACCCACAGGAACAGATTTTTGGTTATGTTGTATCCCGAGATGGGAAAGGTTTGCAGGGCAGAGCAGGTACCCTTGGGATTTGGTGCTGTGTATCTGAGAATTGCAGCTGGAAGTTAACTGGCACATTTATCGATAGGGATAAATACACACAAGGGCAAGGGCAGCGTCTGATTTTTAACAGGAGACAAATCTGTTCCACACATGGACGCAGGTTGCCTCCTTGACATCAGAGAGTAATTTAAGGGTGGCGGTCACTGGATATTTATACAGTTTGAGTGACTCAAATCTTACAGATGTTTCTCAAATAAGTGTTACAAACTGTTTCAAAATAATGGTCCAATAGGGACGTTACACATCTTAGTAATCTGCCATTGTGTACAAGAATCTTGGCTTGTGTTCAGAGTAGCCAGAGGGCATGCATGTAGCTTCAAATAATGTACTGTTTCTGTAATGTAAGTTGTTTACAGCTACAGTTTCGAAATAACAGCAGGAGAGTTCTGATTACAAAATTGTCACAAAGTGAAACAGTAAATGTATCTCTCCTGAACCTCTTCCTATATGAATATCAGTAAGCTAGTGCACTAATGCGTATTGATTATACACACAACAGTGATAATTGCAGCCCTCTTGTTGGCAGCATAAAGCAGTCATGTGGTTCCTTGAACCGCTGGTTGTGTAACTACTTGTTATTTATGAAGTGTTTTCACTTTTATGTGGTTCCTTTAGGCACCAAGCCTATCTCTCTGTCTCTGTCCTCCTGAAGCTCCTCACCCTCAGTTTTCTGCCATGTTCTTTCTTCCTTCTCTCTCCCCCTGACATCTGTATCAACCTGTTGCCATCTTGATCTTGGTCTTCTTCTTGGGTCTTTTCCCCCTAGTTTCATGTTTCAAACGTTCTTTTTGTTCATTCTTGAAGTGTGACCATACGTCTGTCTTCTCATATTATTTGTCAAGGTGCTTATATTCTAAATTCTACGCAATAATTTTTCTGTTCCACATCCTCTTGTCTTCTGGTTTTCCCTCCTGTACTTCATAACAGTTAAATCTTGACTGCCATTTTAATCTACCTTGGCCCATGCTTATGCTTCACATATTAATATGGCCATGCAGTAACTTCATAAAACAGACTCTTCCCCCCACCCCCTTCATTTTCCATGTGGATTGTGCCCATAACTGCTGGTTTCTCACCATAGAGCCTTGGGTTCAGTCTGGGTGACTTCTGTGGTGGACGAGGTGGCAATGGATCAGGTTGTATTTTGAGTTCCTTTAATTTTTGCGCTGCTAATCACCATTCCATCATTGTCTGAGACCTGTCCATCTCACCCCTTTGAGGTGTGTGATATCCCTGACCCTGCAGCATGCCCTCACATCCTCGGTCCCTAAGTTGGGCGCTTCATCTCTGACCCTGCATTTGGTCAGTTGCAGAATGAAGGAGTTAGTTTAGTGTTCAAATCTTGTTGTCTTCTGGAGAAACATCAAGTAGCAGTTTCACTGTATTTTCCTGCTTGAATATGTTACCTTACTTGATTTATAATGTTTCAGTTAATTGTTTTTACATAAGTTTCAGCTCTAATTGTCACATTGAATTTCGTTCGATTTCAGCTACATAACTATAAACAGTCTAGCGATCCCGGACACATTCTGCTCTGTTGATCCGGGTTCTGGCTACCAGTGTCCTGAGGGAATGAAGTGCGTGAAATTGGAGCTCTCACGGTACATCATGGGATTCAACGGGTTCGACGAATTTGGTAATTGTCAAGCCTGCACTGAAAAATTGAAACAGAAATCTTCTGATCCCTTTCCTTTGCAACTGAGCATTCTACACTGTAACTGAAGAGTTGTTTCTGTGAGTAAAGGTGCGGGAGCATGCAATTTAGATATGCATTCACAAATGGCAACCGAATTCAGAAAATTGTTTTGTTGGCAGTAGGCTGATTAGTGCTTGTGGTAAGGAAAATTTAGTCCCATCTTAATGCAGACTCTATTTCTGTTATTAAGCTGGATTTTATTTTTTTGCTTGAAGAACAGTGCATTCAGTTACATGTTGGGTTAACAGTGGATAAATCTTGTATCATTGAGCAGCTCGATAGGTGGACAGATTGAATCAGAAGGCTTACAGTAATTTTGAAATTATACAGTAAAACCCCCATGTTATGTTCCTCGATGTAAGGCTAAGTGAGGCCAAGTCTATTTTTGTGTCAAATTCCCTCCATTTAAACCTTTTCCTTAGTTTATTGTTCATATCCACTGCCCCCTAAAGAAGCTTTAAATGACCATTTCCCTGTGTTTGAATTACCCAGTTGTTGCTTGGTTTGTATAAATGAATGATGTCTGATACTGGTTTGTTTCCTTGTTGTATGTGTCTCTGTTTAAGATACAAATACTGAATTATGTTATTTTTATTTATTGGTGTCATAATGATAATTTTATGGGAAGGTGCATGGATGTAAGATTTGAGCTTCTCTTAGCACCAACTGTAGATTGTCATCATCTGGCATGTGATATGTCTTTGTGTTTAGATTCTTCTCAGTATTGTAAAGAACATTACACTGTTTCCCTCACACTTGGCTCAGGTCCCATTTTATCTCTCCCTCCATCTTTACTGCCTGTTTCCAAGGTTGACTTACTCTTCAGCCCTGATGATGGGGGCAGAGTTTTCTCCTAGAATACTCTGCATTACATCACAGAAAACTGTAAACCTAAAGGCAAAAAGAGTTCTTCAGAAGAATCTTTTTGTAGTTCTTGTGTTATACACAGGTGCACAAAAAGGCAGAGCAAGATGTTTAAACTTTTGTAACTGACTGTGATGAATCTTATTTCCAGTTGTGCTGTGTTTTGCTTTCCAGCCACGAGTATTTTCACAGTGTATCAGGCTGCCTCACAGGAAGGCTGGGTGTTCATCATGTATCGTGCCATTGACAGCCTTCCCGGCTGGAGGGCGGCTTTCTACTTCAGCACCATGATATTCTTCCTGGCTTGGCTTGTGAAGAATGTCTTCATTGCCGTCATCACCGAGACTTTCAATGAGATCCGTGTTCAGTTCCAGCAGATGTGGGGCGTGAGGGGACACATCACAAACAGTTCAGCATCACAGGTATCGTGGCAGACTCACACAAAATGTAAGCTCTCCAGACAGAATATGAGGCACTTGTGTCTGTCCATCCAACTGTGAATTTCTTCTCTTAAACTTTCATCATAACTCAGTGAAATTTGGAATTGGAGGTCTGTATTATGTAGGTCATTTCAGAAACAATGCACACAATTTTTTGTTTATGTCCATGTTTATTTTTTTTTAATATCTCTTTACAGTCCTTCAGTATAGTCCCCCTGGTTCTCAATGACTGAGTCCCAATGTGTGGGAAGCTTTACTATTCCATCCAGGACACCATCTTGTTTATCTGTCGAATGGCTCGGGTACTGCAGCAGAAAGCTCTTCCAGAGAGGGAAAAGAACGGCCCCGCATAGGTTGTTTCAACTTTGGGAATAAGTTGAGGTCTGGTGGACTCATGTCCGGGCTGTAGGGAGCATGAGGCAACACCTCCCAACCATATTGGCACAGCTTTTCTGTTACACCATTCCCGATGTGTGGGCGAGCTTTGTCATGGAGAATAATCAGCCCAGCCTCGAGCAACTGAGGTCGGTTTTGTGCATTTTTCTGCGCATATTTTGCATAAAGTCACGATAATAAACTGCTGTGACACTTTTCCCACACGGAACTCTGTCTGTCATGATGATTCCTTAGTGATCATAAGCGAAGATCATCATTTGTTTGACCTTTGACTGAGATCGTCAAAATGTTTTTGGTCCTGGGGAAGATGGACCTCTCAACTTGTTGGACTGTGATTTCAGCTCTGGATTTCTGTCGGGTTTTTTCCACATAAAGTTTCGATCTTAATGTACGACTTTTGATCTTCAACAGTCACAATACCCGAGAACCATGCAGGCTCCATTTCTAACTCACGTTATTTAAGAACAGAGTGCATTATAAATGAAACAAAATAACGCTCTTCTTTCTCAAACCCTGAACTGTAACTGACATGAGGCTCACTGTTGTTGCATCATCTAATCTGCAGTGTTGCCAACCTGTGCATTATTTATGAAATGACCCACATAAATGTTATGAAGCAAGCTTAATGTTGCTACTTTTTTTTTGCATGACATCCAAATTAAGAACTGCAGTTTTTATTTTGAAATATTTTACAGTGTTGTGTATTTAACCCCTTAACTGCTGAGTCATTAGTGCCCATCTCTATTCTCTGTGCTTGCCAGTTTTTGCAGTTTTCCTTAGGTATGGTTTGGACACAATTTTCGCTGTCTGTATGATGACCACGATTAGTCAGTATGTAGTGTAAGGTTTCACCATTGCTTCTTCCACATTTCACCTACAGATGGCATTTGAGTACTGTAAGGTGTTGAAGCAAACCCATGACTAAAACTGAGCAGGCAGCTTATGTATGTAGTCAAGGCATGTGCTTGGGTTCACACTGAAAGGATTGATATTTCATCTTGCCATTAACAGATGGTAGTTTTATGCTCTTCTGTGTCTTTTTTTCACTAAAGAGTGTAGTCTATTGTCAGTATGACACCATAGAAGGTGTAAGAGTAACATTTGAACCCAAGGACTAGCTTCCATTTTAATGTTGTTTAATGGAAGGACACAGAGGGGACATTTAAAGAAGTTTCCACAGACACAAATATGTCTGTCTGCTTACAGGGGCTTGCAGAGTGTGTAAATTGGTAATTATACAAACTACGTTCCTGTTTATGTGCATGGCCTCTAGTAATTTCCCATGTAGTGACAGGCCTCACATAACCTCAACATAAAACAATACTGATGTCCAATTTGCAAACATTTCTGAATATATCATTTTTATTTGCAATATATTTTCTAGATATTAACAGGGAATGATATGGGCTGGAAGTTGGTAACCCTGGATGAAAACAAGCATGGAGGAAATGCTCCAAAATTCTGTCACGTGATATTACGTTCAGCGTCGTTTCGCCTCCTTGTAATGGGCGTCATCCTGGCAAATGGTGTTGTTACTGCTACTATGAATTTCAAACATGATGGAAGACCAAGGCGTGTTTTCTATGAAAAATACTATTACGTTGAGGTAAGAAGAGTCTGATTTATCTTTGTGTGACCTATTTCTGGTTTCATATCTCAGACAAGTAAAAAAGCTATTTTTGATGTGGTGTGTGTTTGCCTTCTTTGTCAGTGCCACAAAGTATAGTAGTTAGAACTTTGAAGAAGGAATAGCACTCAGACTGAGAAATTAGTATCTGAATCACGTCCAGAAGCCCACCGCAGTACCTGCTCATTGTTCTAATCCTTTGAGACTGACATTGATACAAATAATATCCGGAGGACAGTGATTTCATACCTCACAGAAAGCACACCATGTGTCATTTACAAAGACGAACCAGTTTATGTCATTTAGAGAAATACTTACTGCTTGTTGTCAGAAACATACGAAACACAGAACTGCAAATGTCTTCCATGCTAAAGGAGGTGGTACGAAAAATCACTGCAGTGCTTTAAATGTTAAAGGTTGAGATTTATATGTATTGCATGAAATTTTGGAAATAGGTTGACTTTGAAAATTTGTCATGTACATAAAGATGTTGGCAGGAATTATATGCAGTTCGATGTGATATGTTTGTGTGCAATTAAGGATCCTGTTTGAGCCCAGAAGTGAATATGTCTGTGTAATGCTTACAAGTATGTGATACTTCTGTTTCAGGTTGCATTTACAGTCTTCTTGGACTTGGAAACTCTTTTCAAGATATGGTGTTTGGGTTTCCGTGGCTACTACAAACATTCCATCCACAAGTTTGAGTTGCTGCTGGCTGCAGGGACTACGCTTCATATAATTCCAACACTCTATCTGTCTGGGCTGACCTACTTCCAGGTATAAATGTTTCCTTGTACCTTGCAGTGCTGTTGACACAGTTGATACTGGAGTTTGTCGCAGTGAGCCATGTGGCAATTTCAGGTTCTGCGGGTAGTGCGGCTTATTAAAGCATCTCCAATGCTGGAAGATTTTGTGTACAAGATATTTGGTCCGGGGAAGAAGCTGGGCAGTCTGATCATATTTACCATGTGCCTGCTGATCATCTCATCCAGCATCTCCATGCAGCTGTTCTGCTTCCTCTGCGAGTTCACAAAGTTTGAGAGCTTTCCGGAGGTGAGTTTCCTCAGAGACCTAACTCGCTGTTCTTGTCTGACATACATGGTTGCTACACAGGCACTTAAATGCAGCATGTCTCTGCATTGCAGAAGGGATATGTCCCTGAATATGTGCTTGTATTGGAAGTTCTGTTGTGCGCACACTCTGGTTCTTCATGAGAATCACATGCTGTGTCTAAGTGGAGGTGCCATCCTGTGGAAATTGCAGTAACAAAAAACATGAAGTGGTGCCACCATGCAGCCAGCCATCCCCCTGTGTCAAGGACTTGTGCACATATGACCTCAGTTTCTTAATATAAAATCAATCCTTTCTTTTAAGTGAAGCTGTTTCATCCCAGATTTCTGCAAGGGAGAATTTGCCATCTGTATCCCAAATTTTGATGAACATATTTCATTATGGTTTCCTTAAGGGCAAACTTTCCTAACCCAGATGTCTGTGACATGGAGGCTCGTACCATTTTCTCTGAGTAGTGTATTTGTATATGGTAACTGCAAAAAATTGCTCTTACGTGTCAGTCTCATGTCATTTGAGTCATCGTGTACTGGTTGGTTTCAGGGCCTCAGCTGATGAGCTGACAATAAAAATGGTTTCTGGTTTAGTACAGTACAACATTTCATGGATCTTGCATCTGCATCAGGTAGCCACATATGTCATTACGCTTTCATCAGAAAGTTATGAGATTCTGTTTTCCACATATGAGAGAGAGGAACCAAGTGCCTAGACTGGAGATCTCGTGAAGATCGAGGACTCTTCTTCTGTCAGTCTGCCTGCACAAGGTGTGCTTTGCCTTCAGAGGTGTTTTGTAGCAGTTGCACGTTGTCTGTGAAGTCCACACTGAGGAGCAGTGAGTGGACAGATCTGCTGCCTAGGTGACGAACACAGTACATTGAAATCCCAGGAATTCTTTGAGTTTATTGTCATCTTCTTCTTTTTCTTGTAGGCATTCATGTCCATGTTCCAAATCCTGACGCAGGAGGCGTGGGTTGAAGTGATGGACGAGACCATGCTGCGTACCCGAGAGACGCTAGCTCCTCTGGTGGCAGTGTACTTTATTCTGTACCATCTGTTTGTTACACTGGTAAGACTGGTTGCTCTTTTAATAATGGAAATGTAAAATTTGTAAGTAGTATCACTAAAATATAATTAGCTGTTTGGAGTGCAGTGATTAACCAGAGACATTGCACTTTGAGTGCACAGCACACAGTATTCATGTGCTTTGTTCGAGTCTCAGAACAAACATGTTTTCTGTCTGGCAGGAACTTGATCTTTCAGTAGTACTCAGATTGATATGCAGCTAAAAAAGGCTAAATTGTGTAATAAATCCCTGTCATATCCAAATATTTGCTGCAGAAATTTACCTCATAACTCACAGCCACCACAAATGCATTTGATGATCACTTCTCACACACTGCACCAGTCTCAGTGTGCAGTTGTGTGCTGCTGAAGTAATTTGTTCTCAAACTTTCTTTTGTTTTGTACTCTCTGAAGCATTTGAACAAATGTCTGGACCCTGTAAAAGTTAGAAAGATTCACAACTTAATTTGTAATGCTCTTATAATACAGGTGAACGGTTGTCACCTACGTACAGACTTATTCTGTGTTGATTCAAGGCAGAAGAAGTGACATCTGCAGATAACACTCTGCACTGGGACTACTGAAAATGGGGACATATGGTACCTTGATTCCTGTACCAGTACAGCACCACGGTTTGTGAGACTGAAGATTAACTTAACATAACATACCAGTGCTCTGGCAGGTTTTGTTCTGTTTTCACTGGTCATTTTTCACCATGCCTAGCAGTTTTTGATTGTTATTCCCTGGGTATTGACACCGTGTAGTCTTGTCACCAGTTGTCACAATGCAGGAGCCCAGAGTCCAATTCTGTATTGTGAGAACCTCGAGTCTCGTGTCTCATAGCTTCTGAGGTGTCCCCTTAACATTGATAAATCTTCACTTGTGATTGAGCAACAAACTAACTATGCATGGCAGAGACTTTCTTGAGAAGCCAATAGTCGGTCAGCTGCTTGAGAAATTTTCTGCCTTGTATGGAAATGGAATGTTCATTGCCTTGGTCACAAAAGCTCTCTACTGCACCCTGTCCTTACTCAGATCGGTTACAGTCTCCCATCCTGTTTCTCTAAGATCCATTTTAATAGTGTCATAGTATCTGTGCAATGGTCTTTCAGATGGGCTTTACCTTTCATTTCCACCTATGCACTAGAATACACTGAAACCCCCCATTTAAGGTTTCTTTGGATACCACTTGATTTGCAAAATAAACCAAGGAAAATCTTAATTAGAAGAAATTCAACACAGGGATTGTTGACTTGGCATCATTGAAATTGAACATTCAGTGAGGGAAAACCTGGAACTGAGGAACACAAATTGGGGCTGCACTGTACTGGAAAGGATGAAGGAAATTTTAAGTATTTTAGAAGTTCTTTGCCCCTTGTGTGTGTTCAACTTACTGAGGTAACTTCTTGTTCTGTTATGCCTAAACTGCAAGCTTTCAGTAGAGCCATCAGATGCAGACAGCATCAGCACTGTGAAATCTGGTGTGCCTGTGTCCCTTGGCCAGTATGGCGGACGTAGGAGCAGGAACCTAGCTTCATATGGGGAATATGTTAATATGGTAGCATTCACTGACTGGAAATGTGTTTTCAGATTGTCCTGAGCTTGTTTGTGGCTGTCATTCTTGATAACTTGGAACTGGACGAGGACATCAAGAAACTGAAACAGCTCAAGTTCCGTGAACAGAGTGCAGAAATCAAAGAAACGTTGCCTTTTCGTTTGCGCATCTTTGAGAAGTTTCCTGATAGCCCTCAGATGACTTGTCTCCATAAAGTGCCATCTGATTTCAACTTGCCAAAGGTAATGTGCTTACAGCACACTGAGTTTATTGTGCCTTCTGAATTAGAACTTTACTGTCAAGTGGGTGGGTGGGTGGTCTGTATCACACATCTTGTGTACATTACATTTGTTACTGTGTTGCTTGCAACCTTGTGGCTCAAGAGTCTTTACATCTGCTGTCCATAAACCTAAACACAAAAATTACAGAGCTGCAATTTTGCTTATTTTGTGTGGGTGGGAAACTTGGCCTCTCACGTTAAGGGAAGGATGTAGACTGGGTGTTTGAGATGGAGGTATGTGGGGGGGAGGGGGAAAACTGCACAGTGATGAGCTTCATGACTTGTACCCATATCAAGTGTGTTGCTGGGTTGTTAGATGTTCTCTTGACTTCTTTGTGGGTGCAGTTTTGCGATACTATGCAGTAACTTTCAGCAAACTGGATTCCATCTGAAACAAGAATATTACATCCTGTAACACAAAAGTCCAGATTATCTGACAGGATCAGATATTGAACTTCTGGATAATCTGTTCCGCCAGAAGAAAGGTGGTCATGTGTATGGGTCTTGAGACAGTAGACACTAACTGAGGCTCTGAGCATGAAACATTCTTTCATGTTAGTGAGTTTTGTGTTCTGCTGCAACAATTTGTCTGTCAGGTTCGAGAAAGCTTCATGCGTCAGTTTGTGTACGAAGTGGAGGAAGATGAAACTGAAGGTGTGAAGAAAGTGAACGAGGTGTTTGATTCCAAGATTGTGTATCGGAAGCAGAAACCAGTCAAGATATTGACAGATCCACCGAAAGTACGAAACATCAGCACAAATTTGCGGAAAGCTGCTATTCAGTACATAATCAAGTAAGGAACAGCCCAGAAGTTGGAAATTTGATTCAGTCAAGCTGCTGTTTTTACTTCTTACTCTTTTTGTTCTTGAAACGTTATAAATCGCCAGTTAGTGATCAGATTCTGGCAGAACTTATTCAAGCATGAGGAGAAGTATTACATTCTAAGATCCACAATCTAATTACTTCTATTTGGCATAAGGAAAAATTGCCTGATTAGTGGAAGGAGTCTATTATTGCACCAGTGCACAAGGAGGGTGATAAAACTGACTGTAGTAATTATGGGGGATATCACTGCTATCAACTTCATATAAAATTTTGTCCAATATTCTTCTTTCAAGGTTATCTTTAAGCATCCTGTTGCACTCTATACGATAAAGGATATAATGATATAAACTCCGTCCCAAGTGCAAACAATATATTATGTGTCCTTGATCTTGCTCCTTTACACTACATGTTTCGGCCTCAGACGGCCATCATCAGGTGTATAACACTCACGTTGCTGTCACACTGCACCCAGCTCAAAATTTAACATTTAAAAACACTTTCCTTGTTATTATCAACATCTGCTTCGTTGATATCTGTCTGGTTTGTAGATAATTTTACACAC